ATAAATGTAGTTGTAATGTGAGATACTAACCTGAATGTTTGAGTGTTTAGTCGTTATTTTGGTTACACTATATATGTAAATGGTTTGTATTGTGAAAATATTATAAAACTATAACTATTTGTTAATCATTAACTGCAAGTTTTCAGTTTTGGTTGTAGGTAACCTTAGTCATATTGGCAAAACATGATTTGGCACAATGAATATCTCATTAGGAATAAGATAACCTGAAATTTAGTTCGAAATATGTCACAATTGTTTAGGGTGAATAATGTTAAAACATCCTTCTACAATGTAAATTATGTTTGCATGATTAATTGTTATAATGAAATTATTGTAATATGTTATATGTTTATCCTGTTTGTCATTAAGTTTTGTATTAAATGCCTTATTGACTTTTAAGCCATAGAATGGTTCTGAATGAAATAAAACTTGGAAACTTTGAAACTTTATCACCTGATAAGAATTTAACTTTTTAAGAAATGAAAAGTTTTGCATTTAAATTTGAGAAAAAATGAGTATTTTCCTTCCAATTTTACGAGACAATCTATCATTGACTTATTCCATTCACATTTAATTACGAGCTGTTTGACAGTACTGTTTTAGAACACAGATATATAAAATATTTTTTTCCTTCTAAATAATCCGTCCACCGCACTGTTACAATCGAATCCACTGCCGTCTGCGTTGTAACCATTCTTTGTTATTTTTTATAAAAAGCAATAACAATTTCCAAAAGATCCAAAATATGGTTGTTTGCTGCTAGTATTATTTGTACGATGGGATGTCGGTGTATCAAGGGACAGTTTTCAACACATTTGTAGGTGTATTAACCAAAATTAACCTCGTCAAACTGTAAAGAAGTGTTTGCATGAATGGCAATGAATTACACTGTGTACGTGTAATAAGTTGGAAGAGTACATATGTGGGCTCCTGTCTCACTAGGTGTTTTCAGTAAAACATTTAAATATAAAGTAAAATTTAGTCATAAACTGATAGCAAACGGCCTTTTTTCGTCCACCGCTTCGGCGACGAATACTGCGGAAGCTATAATATATAGCCAGTTATGACATTATGCAAACGAATATGATTACGAGCATATACGCCATATATGCAGTTAGTAAATACACTATAGAGATAGTATACACATAAACAACACAAAACAACACGAGTGTTAAGAGAATGGCGTTTTTAAAATAAAAATGAAATAAAAGTGGCTGATTCAGGATTCAAGCCTCCGAGTTTACGTCTTTATTCCTGAAGTGAAAGACCTTCAACTACTGCGCTGAGCTATAACATTTAACAACTAATTATATACATGAATATCGAAGTACATCGAACTTACGTTTACGGAATTTACCGACTTTAAGATCAAATGCAAGATTGACAGGTCAATATTATTGGACAATAATTGGCCAGTTCTAAGAAACTATATACATGTATCTGATAAAAAAACTATTGCTTGAATTTTAAAAAAGAATACTGCCAAAATGTTTGTATGAGATACATATGGTAATTAATTGCATAAAAGCGAGTGGCGCTTTCACAAAATCATTGCTAAACGGATAAAACCCTACTTAAGGTAATACACCCCCAATGCACTATCTCCATTTTGAAGAGTATTCAAAATGGCTAGAATCACTGTTAAGTGTATTGAAACTAAGGGGCGTGGGTTCAAAACATTAAAAACATTTCGTTTAAAAACAATCATTTTGCTTTTTTAAGTTGTTACCTAAATGTCATTATTTGTTTCTTAACAATGAGCAATAGGAAAACATTTTTCATAATGATGATATTATATATTATTTAGAGTTTCCTTATTTCTGAAAATAAGCCCTTTTAATGGCAAAGTTTTAGTTCAGAAAAATGTCCATGACTCATAAACCACACGGTAAATTTTGTATACAGGTGACATTTAAGGCATATAACTGTCCTATGTTGTCAATTTTACAGTTCCTTATAGTGTCCATTAGGTGTGTCTACCTTAAAATAGCAAAATGATATTCTTTTTATTTACATTATTCATGTGTGTTAAATATCAGAGACATAAAATGTTACAACCTTTTCGGGCACTAACCATATAATAATGGAACAAATATAATTTTACTGTAGATAAAAAATTCCCCTACCCTTTAAATATTTCTGTTCAATACTGTACATTTGCACTCTATTTAGTGATCTACGCATTATTTCTAATGCCAAAAAATTTAAAATAATTTATGGAGCTATCTATAAATACATTCACGTATAATAACGCACAAAAGATAGCGGTCTTGTCAGTTAAAATTATTATGAATATCAAATGACACAGTCAGATGCAAAAGAAGAATAATAAAAAGATTGTATTAATTATTTATAGGTTCAACATAACCATTGAATATTCATTACATGTCAACTTGCTTTTGTATTTGGTCGTTAATACGAGATGTAAATCTCGTGATCCGTTGAAACTTTAATTGATAGATCCCTACTCTGATCTTTTGTTTGAATAACAATGGATTTCACCACAAACATTGGCATGTGCTCTTTTGTTGATGAAATTGTGATTGTATCTAATAATCTGATATAGTCTGATTTTATTGAATACATTATAGCACGCATCTAAATATTCGATACCACTTCGGTTCTGTCAGTATAGATTACGAGAAATAATTTTGAGTATATGACTAATGTTTTTAAAAGTCACACTATCTTCTGATTATCTTATGGTTATATCCGCAAAAGCACAGTCGGTTGAGTGACTACCTCATATATAAGAGGTCTATGGTTCGATCCATACATTTGCAATTGTTTTTAGACCAATTTTGTCTTTTTGAAGTATTCAATAACTCCTTCCGATTATTATATTTGTCCCCCCTTCGGTGATTAGCAGCATGTGACATTAATGAATGAGAACCGGAAAGCATTTCTGCGTACATGAATTCGAAAGCTATAAATGTTCTGATTTTTGACACTTAGGTTATATATTTGTTATTTCCCTTTTTAGTAGTACATGCAATTATAATTTGTTACATTTTGAATTACATTTACACACAGCATATCAAGTATACTATTAGTGATTGAATATGTCAATATAAAGAAGATTTCAGGCAAAAGACTTAATAATTTTGCTTTTGATAATTATTCTTAATTTATATTTATGAAACTAAATGTTTAGTAATAACACAGATATTATATATTTAGCCCCGTGATAATAACATGTTGATATATTGGTTGTTTTGAAATAATTATAACTTTATTATATAAGGTTACATTTCATTGGCATCATTGGTAATGCACGAAGGTAAATTATCAACACTTTGTGCTTGGTGACATGTCCGGGGTCCGTACTCGACAGTAAAAGCTTCATTTAGTGCCCATACGGGCGGATGGACCCTAATCAAGCATAGAATATAGATAGATAGATCGCATCATTGGTAACAACAGAAACTTTGATCTGCAGTTTGAACATGAGGTGTATTGTTTTTATGCATATTTTAAAGCAATTCAGCAAAAAAGTATATTGATCTCCCAAAAAATCAATTAACAATAGCTTTTTATATATCACCAATGTCAAGTAGCTTTCATATCTTTGACTCCACGAACATGATGTTCGTGAATTTCCTCATACTTGCCTAAAATTCAGGTAACAGTCTTCTATCAATATTGAAAGAAACCATTTTTTCTAATTTGACATGAAAAAAAAATGCATGTAATAAAACTATTAGTCCCTTTTGTAACTATTTGTATATTTGTTACAAGTATAATAATAAAAACAGACTTTGATATTTTTATCATCTTATGTCACTGACTACAGTAGTGACACAAACAGAACACGGTACAGTCTTGTCACATTAACATTTACAAGTCTTGTAAGTCTTGTTTGTATTCAATGGAATTACTTTCCTTACCAGGCAGGGAACAGTAAAAGCATTTTTTCAAATTGAATATCTGGCCCCTCTTTTTAATTATGGACAGTGCATAAGATAAGTATGATTATGCAAACAGGAGCTGTCACAGGAGACAGCGAAGCTCGACTAATAAAATACTGGACGCAATAAGGAAGACAAAACTATGAAAGAAAAATCAATTATGTATAATTATGTATTAAGTTATAGTAAAACAATAACATTTTTAACATAAATTTCAAGATCAAGGGGAATAATTCTAGAAATAGTCATGCTAGAGTTTTGAACCTTGTCACACAACATGTGTGTAATGATAAGAAATATATACTTGAAGTTTGAAGTAGATACCTTGAAAAGTAAAGAAGTTATAATAGTTCTTAAAGAAAATCCTAACTTCAAAGAGAGATAAATCTGTATATATTGCTTCAAGAGTTATGAACATTGTCACATAAAATGTAATTGATGATAAGGAATAAGTATTTGAAGTTTAAGGTAGATACCTTCAAAACTTAATAAGTTATAGTAAAAAATAACATTTTTCTAGTAAAAAAATCTAAGTTTATGGGGAGATAATTCTTGCAATATTGGTGCTAGACATAACATGTGGTTAATGATAAGGTACCATTTTGATGGGGGCGGCGCCGAAAAAGTGGTCACTTTTTTAACAACATTTCCCAACGAAAAACAGTGTTTGGGGCCTACATAAGATATTTTTTCACTGTTTTAGGCCTCAAAAAAAAAGGGAGAGGGGTAAAAGCCGCCAAAACACGTCTATATGAGGGAAAAAGTTAAAGAAATATAGGTTTGGTAGTGAAAATTGTCTTTACAACATCATTATTTTTCCATTCCACAAACTTACTAGTACCTGTATCATATGATGTTACTCAGAGTTGGGCTTAAAATTTTCTTTGCACCTCCACCAATTTACTAGTACCTATATCATATTATGTGATTATGAGTTGGGCTTAAACTTAGTTGAGAGGCAACACCTTCATCACTAGTAGATAAACACAGATATCTGTTATCATATGACAGACATTCAGATCATTTTGCAAGAAACTATTGCTTACTTTTGAACATTTTTGTGTTGGAGATCTCAACTTAAAATAAGAGGTAAACATATCAATATTTATTCATCAATAAAAAACAATGCTTTAACATTTCAGGATAAATTCCATCGTTCATCTTCTAGTGGGTCGTCGTTGTCAAGGAAACTATCTTCATAATCATCGTCATAGTCACACCAATCATTACTCATCTCCACCTCGTATGGCTGATATGCTGAAATAATCAGCAAATAACATGTGTTACGAAATAATCAGCATATAACATGTGTAATGAAATAATCAGCATATAACATGCATAATGAAATAATCAGCATATAACATGCATAATGAACTAATCAGCATATAACATGTGTAATGAAATAATCAGCATATAACATGTGTAATGAAATAATCAGCATATAACATGTGTAATGACATAATCAGCATATTACATATGTTAAGAAATAATCAGCATATAACATGTGTAATGAAATAATCAGCATATAACATGTGTAATGAAATAATCAGCATTGGACATGTTTAATGAAATAATCAGCATTTAACATGTGTAATGAAATAATCAGTATTTAACATGTGTAATGACATAATCAGCATATTACATGTAAAATGAAATAATTAATAAACTATAAATGTAATGAAATAATCAGCATAAAAATGTGTAATGAAATAATTAGCGTACTACTGAAATAATCGTAAAATAATCGGCATATAACTTATGAAATGAAATACTTGTATTTGCTAAAAATAGAAGTAATGAGGTATTAAGCATATAGCATAAGTAAAGATATAATCAGTCCTAAGCATGTGTAAATGACATTATCATCATATAAAAAGTGTTCTAAAATAATTTGTTTTTGTTGTGTGTAATAAAATATTCCACTTTAAACACTCATATAACAGGGAAGCAAAATGTGTCAATATGCATAATTAAAGATGGTACTGATCACTCCTGTGAAGTTTCATCAAAATCTAGACAGAAGTTTGACCTGTGAAAGTCTGACAAGATTTTTCTATATATAGCCCTGGTGGCCATTTTGTGCAGTGAAGCAGAACATGCTGGCAATATGAACAAGATATGGCACTGATCACTTCTGTGAAGTGATGTCAGTTTCCTGTCAGCAGTTTGACCTCTGAAAGCCAGACAAGTTTTTTCTATTTATAGCTCTGGCGGCCATTTTGTGCAGTGAAGCAAAATGTGCCGGCTATGTGCACAACTTAGGAAGGTACTGATCTCTCCTCTGAATTTTCACTAAAATCCCACCAGCAGTCTGACCTGTGAAAGCTGGACAGGTTTTTTCTATTTATTGCTCTTGCGAACATATTGTGCTGCTAAGCAGAACATGTCCGCAATATTGGAACTGATCACTCCTGTGAAGTTTCATTGAAATCCCACCAGCAGTCTGACCTGTGAAAGCCAGACAGGTGTTTTCTATTTATAGCTCTTGCAAACATTTTGTGCTGCTTAGCAGAACATGTCCGCAATATGCACAACAAGTGATGGAACTGATCACTCCTGTGAATTTTCATTGAAATCCCACCAGCAGTATGACCTGGGAAAGCCAGACAAGAATTTTCTACTTATAGCTCTTGCGGACATTTTGTGCAGCAAAGCGGTACGTGCTGGCGACATGCACAACTAGAGATAGTTCTGATCACTCTGTGAAGTTTCATTGAAATCCCACCAGCAGTTTGACCTGTGAAAGCCAGAGAAGTGTAATGCGTCCAGACATCCAGATGGACTCAAACATTTTTGGGAGACATAATCATTCATTAAACAAGAATTCCGCAAGTCGGATGTTTTGCCTTGTGAACAATATAGTTTAGGAGAAATGGCCAGGACAAAAATGAAATATGAAAACTAACAAAGGGCAATAACTTAAAAAATAATAAGTGCAGAGCAGCAGTTTCTGTGCACTGCACTTCTAATCAATAAGATCTATCATTCTATGAAGTTTCAAGTCTTTACCTTTAAATTTATGAGAAATAGCCTTGACAAAAATAATGTATGAAATTAATAAAGGGTAATAACTCAGAAATAAGAAATGCAGAGTACCAGTTCTTGTACACTGCACTTTTTCTTAATGAGAACTATCATCCTATGAAGTTTCATGTCCATAGGTTTCATACTTTAGAAGAAATGACCGGGACAAAAATAAAGAATGAAAATTAACAAAGGGCAATATTAAAAAAATAAGAAATGCAGAGTACCGATTCTTGTGCACTGCACTTCTTCTTAATGAGATCTATCATCCTATGAAGTTTCAAGTCCATAGCTTTTAAACTTTCGGAGAAATGGCCTGGACAAAAATAAAGTATGAAAATTAACAAATGGCAATAACTCAAAAAATAAAGAAGTGCAGAGTACCGGTTCTTATGCACTGCACTTCTTCTTAATGAGATCTATCATCCTATGAAGTTTCAAGTCCATAGCTTTTATAGTTGAAGAGAAATGGCCAGGACAAAATTAAAGTATGAAAATGAACAAAGGGCAATAACTCAAAAATTAAGAAGTGCAGAGTACCGGTCGTTGTGCACTGCACTTTGGGTTATTAAAAGAAGCATGCATACCAAGTTTGAAGTCAATCTGACTTATAATGACTGACTTAGGCTCCGCACAAGCTTAAGGTGACGCCGACACGGACGCCGACGACCAACAACGCCGACAAAAGCAACCCCTATATGTTGCCTTTTCAAGGCGACACATTAAATGAACCAAAATTTCTCTGAAAGTTCTAATAAATTATAAATACCAGATAAAGGCAAGTGGGGCGGATACTCCTCAGCTTCGTCATCCCAATTCTCCTCGTCGTCATCGTATGATGGTAGAACAATATCCCTGTCAGCGCGTAAATCTTCGATAGCATAATTATACATGGACACATTAACATGAGATATCACTGTCTTAATCCAGTCTATGTCATCCGATAACCAGTCAACTGAAGTACCTGAGGAGAGAATAAAAACAACATCGGTTACCAGAGCCAAAATGACAAGTCACATGACAAATCCTTTGTAAAGCAGTCATAGGAAAAAAACAATTTTCTGTTCCACTAATTAAAAGTTCAAAACATCGCCATTCTGCTAAACTTGTGTAGATAAAAGAAAATCTTAGAAACTGAAATTTTGGACAGGATTGCGACGTCTTAGCCCTTAGTCTAGTAAGTATTTACAAAAATCATGGAATACCAGACGACACACAGCATATCTCAACATCTTGTCCTGAAACAAGCTGGTTTATAGTCACTCTTTCAAATTAACCAGACCATTTTTTCAGCAGACGACAATTTTTTTCCAAACAGGTTACAGGTCAAACAATGAGACGTCAAAGTAAACTAACTGCTAGATAAGGAAAATTGAGCAGCGCCATGACAAAACCAAGATACAATGTAGTGTGTTTGCAACTAGCATGGATCCAAACCAGCCTGCACATCCACACAGTCTGATCAGGATCCATGCTGTTTGCTAACAAACCCTATTACAAGAAGAGAATCTGATAGCAAACAGCATGGATCCTGATCAGTCTGCAAGGATGTGCAGGCTGGTCTGGATCCATGCTGGTCGCAAATGCATTATGTTGGTTTTGTCACGCCGCGGCTTATTAAATTTACCTCCTAGAATGAGATCAACTGTCATGTCTGACTTTAATCTTGACTGATTTGTGAACCCTTCAAACATCTTATTTGTTATTTGGAAACACCCACTCACATCAATATGATTCAATCTAGGGCAAAGTGCAACTAGCTTTATTATCACTGAAATGCCAAAATAAAACAACATAAAATTATTGCAAGAAACAATGTACAAATTGTTGCCTTATCCATGATCTTACTTAATTTGTGTTATGAACTAGTCATTATTTTCATTTAGTATTGTCCATTGTTCCTTCCCTAAATCTACCCAAGTAACCAGTAAGCAGTCCAGACCCAGGTCAACCGGCATTTCTATCTGTAACATCATGGTCTGCGCTGTCCGCTATTCAGTCAGTATTTTTTCAAATTTTTTCTAATGATGAAACAATTTTTTTTTTCCAGATATTACATGACATATGAGTTAATGAGTGTCTTAGTTTAGAACTTCCTGTTGTTATTTCAGTGGTTGCGATGAAAGACTCAAAATCAAAATTGCGCAGCCAAAACTATGGTGCTAAGTCAGACGGCACAATACATTAGTACAGGCTGACCTGATTCTATACTGGTGGCAAAGGCAATCCGGTTTTGGTTCCAACAGGTTACAGGTTAAAGATCAACAACAAAATCTCCCTGGTTATAAAGTATGTAAAACACAACTATAATGAGGAATTTTCTCAATTTATATCAATTAATTAGTCACACTTACTGGAGTCAGATGGAAACTTTGTTGCCCTGGCAATAAACTTCACTAAATTACAACTTTCTGCAAGCTTTATAACACTGTCTTCTGTGACCTTGAAAAGTATTCAAATTAATTAACAAAACTAAAATTTATTTCATATTTACATTGTATATATAAAGTAATGTAAAAAAAACAATAATTTAATAACTTTTATCATCCATCAATTAGTTTTGTAGAAGGAGACGTTTAAAAGGTATTTCTATATTTAGCTTTAGCGGCCCCTAAAAAGGGCCAATCAAATTAATATGAGCAAACTTGATACAAGAGGGCCATGATGGCCCTGAGGTCGCTCACCTGTATATAGGCCCCCCCCCACCCCCGGGCCAATTTTTACCCAAGGGCTTTTATTTGTTTATTTGAACAGACTTGGAAGACACCCATAAGAAGATGTTTCATGCTAAACATCTAAGTTCTAGCTCATTGGCTTTTTTAAAAGAAGATTTTTAAAGTTTTTACTATACACATATAGTTAAAAACAATGACACCCCTGGGGCAGGGCCAGTTTTGACCCCCGGGCGTTCATTTTAACAAACTTTGTAGATATTTACTTAAAGATGTTTCATCCTTAATATCTAAACTCTAGCTATTTGGGTTCTTCCAAAGAAGATTTTTAAGTTTTTGCTATACACATATAAGGAAAATCAATGATCCCCCCCGGGCGGGGCCAGTTTTGACCCCAGGGCTTTTATTTGAACATACTTGGTAGACACCCATTAGAACATGTTTCATGCTAAATATCTTAGCTCTAGCTCTTTGAGTTCTTTAAAAGAAGATTTTTTTAAGTTTTTACTATATGCATATAGGGAAAATCTATGACCCCCTGGGGCGGGGCCAATTTTGACCCCAGAGCTTTTATTTGAACAAACTTGGTAGACACTCATTAGAAGATGTTTCATGCTAAATATCTTAGCTCTAGCTCTTTGGGTTCTTTAAAAGAAGATTTTTTAAGTTTTTACTATATGCATATAGGGAAAATCAATGACCCCCTGGGGCAGGGTCAATTTTGACCCCAGGGCTTTTATTTGAACATACTTGGTAGACATTCACTAGAAGATGTTTCATGCCAAATATCTAATCTCTAGCTCTTATGGTTCTTTAAAAGAAGATTTTTTAAGTTTTTACCATATGCATATAGGGAAAATCAATGACCCCCGGGGCGGGGCCAATTTTGACCCCAGGGCTTTAATTTGAACAAACTTGGTAGACACTCACTAGAAGATGTTTCATGCTTACTATCTTAGCTCTAGCTCTTTGGGTTCTTTAAAAGAAGATTTTTTAAGTTTTTACTATATGCATATAGGGAAAATCAATGACCCCCTGGGGCGGGGTCAATTTTGACCCTAGGGCTTTTATTGGAACAAACTTGGTAGACATTCACTAGAAGATGTTTCATGCCAAATATCTAAGCTCTAGCTCTTATGGTTCTTTAAAAGAAGATTTTTAAGTTTTTACTATATGCATATAGGGAAAATCAATGACCCCCGGGGCGGGGCCAACTTTGACCCCAGGGCTTTAATTTGAACAAACTTGGTAGACACTCACTAGAAGATGTTTCATGCTTACTATCTTAGCTCTAGCTCTTTGGGTTCTTTAAAAGAAGATTTTTTAAGTTTTTACTATATGCATATAGGGAAAATCAATGACCCCCTGGGGCGGGGCCAATTTTGACCCCAGGGCTTTTATTGGAACAAACTTGGTAGACATTCACTAGAAGATGTTTCATGCCAAATATCTAAGCTCTAGCTCTTACGGTTCTTTAAAAGAAGATTTTTTAAATATTTTCTATATGCATATAGGGAAAATCAATGACCCCCAGGGGCGGGGCCAATTTTGACCCCAGGGCTTTTATTTGAACAAACTTGGTAGACACTCACTAGAAGATGTTTCATGCCAAATATCTAAGCTCTAGCTCTTATGGTTTTTTAAAAGAAGATATTTAAAGTTTTTTCTTTTGGTTGCCATGGCAACCAGAGTTCTGCATGGAATTAAATTCTTTGAACAATTTTTAAAGGTGACCACCAAAGGAACATTCCTGTGAAGTTTGGATGAAATTGGCTCAGTGGTTTATGAGGAGATGTCATTTAAAGCAAAAGTTTACGGACGGACGGGCGACGGACGGACGGACGCCGGACGAAAAGCGATCACAAAAGCTCACCCTGTCACTTTGTGACAGGAGAGCTAAAAAGACTACCAAAGAATGCTACAGACAAAGTTTGGTGGTAATCCATAAATTATTTCAATAGGAAATGATGTTCAAAGTTCTTTTCTATCTTTAGCTTTATTGGCCCATAAAAGGGGCTAATCAAATTAATGTGAGCAAACTTGATAAAAGACTACCCAAGAATGCTAAAGACAAAATTTGGTGATCATCCATCAATTAGTTCTGTAAAAGGAGATGTTTAAATGTATTTCTATTTTTAGCTTAAGCAGCCCCTAACAGGGGTTGATCAAATCTATATGAGCACAATTGATAAAAGACTACATAAGAATGCTATAGACAAAGTTTGGTGGTCATCCATTGATAAGTTTTTTCTTTTTTTAGCTCTGTTGACCCCTAAAAGGGGCTAATTGAAATGACATGAGCAAATTTAAGTGTGACTGTCACAAGGATGCTACAGACCTAATTTGAAGTAAATCTGCCAAGCAGTTTCAAAGAAGCATGTTGGCGCATGACGATGGACGCTGGTGTTACCCCCTTTGATACTAATAGCTCACCCTAACCCTTCGGTTCTGGTTAGCTTAAAATTGAAGGCAGAAGAATATCATTTTACATTTTCTTGGTAAAAATTCAGGCAGTTGCCTACACAGCCAATGACTATAAAGATGCTTTTTATTTGGCACATCAAATATAATGACCAAATTGTACTACCATAATGTCACCTTAGTGCAGTAACAGGTTAACTCATATTGAATGATAAAAGAAGTTAACCCAATACTGCACCGATATAAGCCTTTCTGACCTTAAAGCAGCATGCCTCCATATTTATTCTAATTTCGGATGGAAATTTTGAAAATGTATTTAAATGTAAAATATTGTGAAGTGAACAAAGAAAGTCATTTAGACATGGCTAAATGCACCAACAATCCACATAATTACAAAAAAGAGTTCAAGATATGCAAAATAGCCCTTACTGCATAAATAACGCAGTAGAAATATTGTGACAAATACTGCAAAATCTGTCATTAATCGCACATAACATGTAAATGTTTACTTGAATATTGAATTTTTTACTTTTCTTACAATCTTAGTATGTTTTTCCCCAAGTGTATTTGTCTTGAAATATTTTTGCTCATCTGGAGGCATGCTGCTTTAATGGATGGACAACAATAAGCCTATTCCATACATAGATGACCTAGATATTTATTTCAGTACAGCTAGAAGACACAGTAAATGGTCAAAATATTGTAATTCTATAACTTTCACTTGTCATGTAAAGTACTTTGGTGAAAAGTACTGCAATTTATGCAGCTTTATCTTAGATGGAAGCTTAGAAGAGGGATTCCAGGTCTGACATCAGTACATTTTTTTATCCCACAACAAATTCTAAAACTTTTTATCAAGATTCAAACCAGTGAAAGAGATTTAGAAACACATCATCTGCAATCCTAACAGCTGATTCTAGTAGATGTATTATATAAATGTAAAGATATAAGTTATCTAGCAGAACTTACCTGGTTTAGATAACTGACGTTAATGGATGCCAACTGAGATAGTCTTGCCAGAGATAATATCCCAATATCTGTAACAGCATGACAACCACATAAATCCAAGTACCTGTAGTATAAACATGATTTATTCACAATATGCAACTATGCTCATATAAATCAATACATGTTCAGTCAAACTTTATTTTGTCAAGCTAAGACCATATGAATAACTCGCTTTACTCTTACTCACTGTTCCACTGGTCCAATCAAAATCGTATATACCATTAAATGAGCCGCGTCAAGACAAAACCAACATAGTGGGTTTGCGACCAGCATGGATCCAGACCAGCCTGCGCATCCGCGCAGTCTGATCAGGATCCATGCTATTCACTTACCAACCCTATTACAAGTAGAGAAACTGATAGCGAACAGCATAGATCCTGATCAGACTACACGGATGTTGTTCTACCTACCATGGATCACTCTAACAAAGATTGCTTGAACTTTCAAACCAGAGTTCTGATCCCTTTGGTAGAAATATATTGTAAACTTTCTTTTTGTCATCTCAAAAATCTATTGAGTATTGTATGCAGTGTTAAAGCTAGTCTGTTAAAATTTCTTATTTAAAAAAGTGGTATTACTCCAATAATAATGCTTTCAGAGTTATGCCCCTTGCCTAACAACTACACCATGTAATGATAAGCAAGTATTCAAATTTACATTAATATCTTTTGAAATGTTTAAACAACAGGCCACATTAAAGTTTTTGCATTATGAAAAAGATGCGATTATAATAGCTCGACTTTTTCTTCGAAACAGGCAAGCTAAAAGTGGACAGTTGAACAGTGGAAGCTGGACAAAAACATGTATAAAATTTAGTAGGTGAAAGGTTACTTAGTGTAAAGACTGACACCAATTTAATGTGTTTAAACATTTGAAACAAGTTTATTTCATCTACTGTGACAAATATCCATTACTTACCTTAATTGTTTACAGTGGTCACTTAAAGACACTAAGACAGAATCTGTAACCATGTGACACAGTGACAAGTTTAACTCTTTCTGTAAAATTTATAAATAATTTAACAGTTTGAGATATGATGAGAACATTTATTTGACATTCATTCTTGTACTCTATATAAAAATATTTTATCATTTAAAGCACGGCGCTGGAGTGTAATTCAGTCATTTGATAAAACTGATATTACACAAGTGTAATAACACTTTGACAGGATGTCATTTTTGTTTAATAAAAACAAGCATTAAAGTGCCCTAATGTTAGCGCTACACTTATAAGCGCATCAACAAAAAATGACTCCTTTTAACTGTAAGCCTTTCTTATTTTGAATAAATGATAAGTAGAATATCATATTTGTGTAGATTCAATACTAAATTTATTGAATGAGTTGAACAAAATCATATTTTGCGAGCCTCTGGCCAGCATATTGATGTTTTATTCCACAAGTTCAATAAATTTAGTATTAAATCTACACTAATTCAATATTCTCTTTTATTATTTTATTGTATACTCATACATATTTATAAAGGTCCTGTTTGCATCACATTGATAACAAGGAAAGGTAAAAAGAAATCCATGTTGCCTGTGAGAATGTTCAGACATATCATCTATAATTTTATGTCCTAACAGAATATACAGTTAAAATATCAGAAGATTTACAACAAATTTTGTTTAAATACAAACACCATAGCCTGGCCTGGAATAAGTCCTCAGATCTTCAAGGATGGTGTTCTGTATCTCTTTATTTTCTAATTTACCTGGTTGATTACAATATCTCTCCTATTATAACACGACATATGTGGTGGTGGTGGTGGTAGTTTTCATGCAAGACCACTCTGAATTTACCACAGCACAGTTAAGCCACCACATCGTCCTTGGGCAGGCTGTCAAGAAATTTACCAGTACTATTTGCTTTACTTTTCACAAGGAACTGATAACTGCTGTGCATGCCAGAGCAGAGGTACAGTGTGAATGACCATAGAAAGGTTTTCATGATCAATCACAATGAAAAGGTACAGTATAAATGACCTTAGAAAAGATTTTATGATGAATCACACAAAACAAAAATGATCTGCACCATCGAGGAATCAAACCTGGTTGGCTCGATTCACAGTCGAAAGCTCTACCTATTGAGCTAACGGGACCGATACATGACATATGTACAACATAGTATCTTTATATACACATAATTGAGCTGTGTCATGACAAAACCAACATAGTGCGTTTGCGACCAGCATCGATCCAGACCAGCCTGTGCATCCACGCAGTCTGATCAGGATCTATGCTGTTCGCTATCAGTTTCTCTATTTGTAATAGGGTTGGTAAGCAAACAGCATGGATCCTGATCAGACTGCGTGGATGCGCGGGCTGGTCTGGATCCATGCTGGTCGCAAACCCATTATGTTGGTTTTGTCGTGACACGGCTCATATAATATATATCTACATACCAATGCTGGCAGTTTCTTTAAATTTTCCAGGGCCTCTGTGTCAACTGTAATTAACATAAATATTCAATCAATCCTCATTTCAATCTCCACACAGTGATCTCCCCTTAATTCTTCGGCATAGTTAATGTACTTACAAAGGGAAGTAACCGCTGCGAGGAGTTTGTACTCATTTATCATTCAATATTTATTATGAATTATCTATTCTGACAAACAAACAATATTGTCAAGTGGTTGTGTAGAATAATGTAAAGCTCCAGTTCAAATGTGCAATAAGGGATTGGGTAACAAATTACAAAACATTTGGAAATTAAGCAATAGATCTAACTACAACACAAATAAAATATTTCCTAATAAAAGATATCTTCTTCTATCCTGATAATCTTAAAGAAAGTTGCACTACATAGACTCTGATTCAGCAGGAAAATTGATTTTTTGGATGCCATTTGGTTTACTGACATCCGCATCTAAAGCCATATGGTCTGTAAACACATCAACTCCTTATTCTATGCATACTTCACTCATTACTGTGTTACAATGCACACAATGGCTTAATCTATTTGAAAATGTAATGAAGTGTAGCATCGTTGCATGAGCAATATCGACAGTTTGATATTTATTGAGTTTACAGCCATCAAATCATTATAAGGATTCTGTAAAGGGTTTCTCTTGGTCCCCCACCTTTTCCAGTGGTTTCATTATTTTTGTGTAACTGAAATGTCATATATTTTTATCCTTTGAAGGTGATTGTTTAATCAAGTTTTGATATTATAGCATTTTAATATTGATTTATCCTTTGAAGGTGATTGTTTAATCAAGTTTTGATATTATAGCATTTTAATATTGATTTAGCAATTACCCACAATGATTTCTGTAACAGGCATAACCTGTTAATTCAGAGAAGTCTGTTAGTGTTTAGAAAAGTTATGAATTTCAATATTAGTTTATGAACAACGCCACACAAAATTGAATATTCAGTAATCATTTATTGCAGACAATTAAGCTACGTGCCTTTATCAGTAAACTAGAACTCCGCGAGTCGGATGTGTCGCCTTGTGAACAATATAGTTTCAGAGAAATGGCCAGGACAAAAATGAAATACGAAAACTAACAAAGGAAAATAACTCAAAAAACAAGAAACATGGCAATGCCATGAAACCAGGTTTTCAATTATCACCATTGTAGATAAATATGTTGTATTTGAAATACAAATACAAGCAACAATGTAACTATGTGCAATGTAAAACATGAATAATGTAGGAGGAATTGCCACTGAAGAAGTGTTCACTATATATTCTGTATAAGGAAAAAAACAAAGGGCCATAATTAGGTCAAAAATTATCCAATCTAAAAACCCCGACACTATGTGCCAGGGCACTTGATGACAAAGCTTCTGTGAAAGTTTGAACAAAATCCGTTGAGAAATGTTGGACGAGTTCAGCACAGAAGAATTTGTTCACTATATATTAATAATTCTGTATAAGGAAAAAAAACAAAGGGCCATAATTAGGTCAAATATTATCCAATCACAAAACCCCAACAATATGCGCCAGGGCACTTGATAACAAAGCTTCTGTAAAAGTTTGGTCAAAATCCGTTGAGGAATGTAGGAGAAGTTGCGCAAGATAGAAATTGTTCACTATGTATTCTGTATAAGGAAAAAAAAACAAAGGGCCATAATTAGGTCAAATATTATCCAATCACACAACCCTGACAATATCATCAGGGCACTTGATGACAAAGGTTCTGTGAAAGCTTTGTAAGTTTGAACAAAATCCGTTGAGAATTGTAGAGGGAGTTAAGCACAGAAGAAATTGTTCACTATATATTCTATATAAGGAAAAAAAACAAAGGGCCATAATTAGGTCAAATATTATCCAATCGCAAAACCCCGACAATATGCCCCAGGGCACTTGGTGACAAAGGTTCTGTGAAAGTTTGGTCAAAATCCGTGGAGAAATGTAGGAGGAGTTGCGCACAGAAGAAATTGTTCACTATATATTCTTTATAAGGAAAAAAAACAAAGGGCCGTAATTAGGTCAAATATTATCCAATCGCAAAACCCCGACAATATGCCCCAGGGCACTTGATGACAAAGCTTCTGTGAAAGTTTGGTCAAAATCCGTTGAGAAATGTAGGAGGAGTTGCGCACAGAAGAAATTGTTCACTATATATTCTATATAAGGAAAAAAAACAAAGGGCCATAATTAGGTCAAATATTATCCAATCGCAAAACCCCGACAATATGCGCCAGGGCACTTGATGACAAAGCTTCTGTGACAGTTTGGTCAAAATCCGTTGAGAAATGTAGAAGGAGTTGCGCACAGAAGAAATTGTTTACGCTCGCCCGCCCGCCTGTCCGCCCGCCCGCCCATCCGCCCGTCTGTCGACATACCTCAATCTAATAACCAGTTTTTAATAAGTGCAGAGCAGCAGTTTCTATGCACTGCACCACTTCTTATCAATAAGATCTATCATTCTATGAAGTTTCAAGTCCATATCTTTCATAATTTATGAGAAATGGCCTGGTCAAAAATAAAGTATGAAAATATATAAAGGGTGAAAACTCAAAAATAAGAAATGCAGAGTACCGGTCCTTGTACACTGCAATTATTTTTAATGAGATCTATCATCCTATGAAGTTTCATGTGTATAGCTTTCATACTTGAGGAGAAATGACCTGGACAAAAATTAAGTATGTATATTAACAAAAATTAACAAAGGGCCATAACTCAAAAAATAAGAAATGCAGAGTACCGGTTCTTTGGGCACTGCACTTCTTCTTAATGAGATCTATCATCCTATGAAGTTTCAAGTCCAAAGCTTTTATACTTTTGGAGAAATGGCCCAGACAAAAATAAAGTATGAAAATTAACAAAGGGCAATAACTCAAAAAATAAGAAATGCACAGTACTTGTTCTTGTGCACTGCACTTCTTCTTAATGAGATCTATCATCCTATGAAGTTTCAAGTCCATAGCTTTTATACATTAGTAGAAATGGCCCGGACAAAAATAAAGTATGAAAATTAACAAAGGGAAATAACTCAAAAATTAGGAAGTGCAGAGTACCAATTCTTGTGCACTGCACTTCTTCTTAATGAGATCTATCATTGTATTAAATTTGAAGTCCATAGCTTTTATAGTTGAAGAGAAATGGCCCGGACAAAATTAAAGTATGAAAATTTACAAAGGGCAATAACTCAAAAATTAAGAAGTGCAGAGTACCGGTCCTTGTGCACTGCACTTCGTGTTATTGAAAGAAGCATGCATACCAAGTTTGAAGTCAATCCAACTTAAAGTGACTGAGTTATGCTCCGGACAAGCTTTAGGGGACGCCGACGCCGACAATGACGCCGACGACAAAAGTAATCACTATATGTCACCTTTTCAAGGCGAAACAAAAAACGAAATAAAATTCTTCTACCACTTATGACATATTCATTTTCATACCACTCGATGAAAATAAATTCTGTATTCATAGAAAAAAATCTTGAATATCGTGTATATTTTATTGGTTAACTTACATTTTGTCCCAGCAGCATGTAGTATATGTAATTGTGAACATTTATGACAAACTTCTCTAAGTGATGATCCACTTAGACTTCTGCAATTGTTTATATATAACTCTTCCAGATGTCTGCTATGACCAATAAGATTGCTAAAACTACCATCATCTACCTGAAGTAAAATAGAAAACTACCATAATGTACCTGAAGTTAGATATAAAACTACCATCATTTACCTGAAGTTAAATAGAAAACTACCATAATGTACCTAAAATTAAATAGAAAACTACCATCATCTACCTGAAGTTAAATAGAATATTAACATAATGTACCTGAAGTTGAAAAGGAAAGAATAATTTTTTTAAATTTCTTTTCAAATTTTTTTTTTAAAGTATTTAATTATATTAAGTTTCACAGTTTTATACTCAAAACTTTAATTTTCCGACCCCTTACCTGGGTTGATCTAGTGTAACCATATTCAATCTACATGAAACAAGCAATTATCATAGTATTGCAAGCAATCCATAAGTCCCCTACCGGTTAGAACCCCAGCAACATTCTGATTTCAATTTTACCAGTGAATAAATGACAAGAATAAACTTAAATCTTTTGAGTTCCAAGTTTGTCTATTTCACAGTAATGTGTTAAGTTTCCCTGCCTAGTAAGGAAATTATGTTTATACAACCTTGTCATATTATTACGATGTAGGATTTTAAAGTAAATCCTATAAGGAATGAAGAAGTTGGAGTAAAAAATACCAATTTCTCGAAAAAAATCTAAGTTCAAGGGGGACATAATTCTGGAAAAAGTCTTGCTAGAGTATTTAACCTTCTCAAAAATGTTGAGTGATAATAAGAAACATATATATGAAGTTTGAAGTAGATACATTAGGAAATAAAGAAGTTATTTAAAAAAGACGTTTTTTTTTCATAAAAAATCTAAGTCCAAGGGAGGTAATACTGATAATTTTTGTGCTAGTGTTGTAAACCTTGTCACATATGATGTGGTTGATGACCAGAAACTTATATTTAAAGTTTGAAGTCAACACCTTAAGAAATAAAGAACTTATAGTGAAAAAGCTGAAAAATTTAAATCAGAAACCTTGAAATTCAGGCTATTTGTTGCCATAGCAACCAGAATTTTTAACATAGGAAGAAAAGAAATAGATGTGCATAATCTGCAGACTGCCATCTATCCATATTTTAAGTTTCATAAAAATATTTTCAGTACTTTTTGAGTTATCACTGGATTCAGTTTATGTGTTAAATTTGCCATATTTCCAGACTATTTGTTGCCATAGCAACCAGAATTTTCAACATAGGAAGAAAAGAAAAAGACGTGCATAATCTCCATACTGCCATCTATCCATATATTAAGTTTCATAAAAATATTTTCAGTACTTTTTGCGCTATCGCGGGATCCAGTTTTGTGGACGGACGGACTGACAGACGGACGGACAGACGGACGGAGGGTAAACCTAAAGTCCCCTCCTGTTAAACCGGTAGGGGACAATTAGGTAACTCATTTCATATCACAAGAATGCTACTAATTTAACTTCAAAGCAAGGGAGGCAACTGATTTAACCAAAGAGCAAGCAAGTAAAGTAAAAATCCTCTCATTTTAACAAAAATATTTCACTCACTCACCTTGTAACAATTAGTGAGCACCAAATGTTTTAATGAGTCTAGATCACTCTGTAATGTCTTGAAACACTGAAAAGAAAAGTGTAGTTATCGTAAAACAATAGGATATTGTATCTAAATAACGCCTTTTACAGCTACTATTTCTTAACACTTAGAAAAACGTATTTATCTGTCAGTCATGAATTGATTTCTTGACAACTACATTTCATTTTCTGAATAAAACGAAAAGGTATATAATAAAAGGAAAATTATGTTGTAGTAGCTTTCTGAGGCTATGTATTTTTCTACTCGCAATGTTGGAAAATTGATATCTCGCTCGACCTTCAGTCTCGTAAGATATCAATTTTCAAACGCTGGTCATAGCAAAATTCAAAGCCTCAGAAAGCTACTACAACATTTGTTTTTTGTTTTTTTTTTGGTTTTACATCACATCGACACAGTATATGTCATATCGCGACGTTACAGCTTTACTGGTGGAGGAAGACCTCAGGTGCCCTTCCGTGCATTATTTCAGGCACGAACGGGCACCTGAGTAGAACCACCGACGTTCCGTAAGCTAGCTGCATAGCTTCCTCACATAAAAGAATCCAAAGTCCCTGTCAGGATTCAAACCCACAGCGGTGAGGGGCAAGTGATTTGAAGTCAACGACCTTAACCACTCGGCCACAGACGCCCCCTACTACAACATAATATTCCATATATATCATTAAAAAAGAAAATTATACAAAAAATAATTATCTCTTTTATACAGATGATAATTATTTCTTGTTTAAAATGGTAATTACCTCTTTATAAAAATGATAATTATCTCTTCATACACATGATAACTATCTCTTTTATACAAATGATAATTATCATTATCAATAGGTTTTGTTCCTATAGATGTAAAACAGCTTACCTTTCCTTTTAAATGAGAAACATCTGTGAGATCAAGGTGTGCCAGTGGTTGGCCTGACGTTAACAGTGTATGTATTCTGTAAACAACAACAACAACAACAAATGAGCCGCGTCACAACAAAACCAACATAGTGCGTTTGCGACCAGCATGGATCCAGACCAGCCTGCGCATCTGTGCAGTCTGATCAGGATCCATGCTGTTCGCTTACCAACTCTATTACAAGTAGTGAAACTGATAGCGAACAGCATGGATCCTGATCAGACTGCGCAGATGCGCAGGCTGGTCTGGATCCATGCTGGTCGCAAACGCACTATGTTGGTTTTGTCGTGGCACGGCTCAAATAATTTCAAGGTTTTATCTTAATAATAATGAACTTAAAAATCCCCAATAGGTTGCCTTTATTTTCTTAATTTTGCTTTTTCAGCAAGAGTTTTTCTCATGTTCAAATATTTTGGTATTTTTTTCGTCTGACAAAATAAATCATGATGCTAATAATATTTACATACATGTATAAGTTTATACATAGTTGCTTCAAAGCTGTCACTAAGTCTTTATTTCAATCAAAGAAAGCAATTATAATATCACATGCTATATAACCAAAGCTTGTTGACACATATGACCCGACCTGCTGGTTATATCAGCATACATGTACAACCTTTTATTCATTATAAAGATTTTTTGACAGGTTATATGACCCAATATAAAATATAGCCCTAGCCATCATGCGAAGGTTATATTGCAACAATCATATATATAAGGTCACAAAACCTGTCAGTAATATTTAGAATGAATTTATAATGCTGCAAATTTCTTTTTTAAGAGAGGAAAGTAAGATTTCTTAATGAATTGATAGCATGCGGGTATATAAAACTATAGTCACATCACGATTATCCAATGAAAAGCAACATTACAAACTTGCAGTATTATAAAAGCATATACAACTAGTCAAAAATATTGAATATCATTAAACTTACATCAAATCAGTTAAAGATGACTTTAAGTTAAAGTTCTGTATATACTCATCCATAAGAGTGGCCACTTATAAGACTAGGGTAGTAGAGTCCCATTTTAACCTCGACTCTCTCATAAGACTCATTAGTTTCCCTAAACAAAACATGTATATATAACAGAAATAAACATACCCTGTATCCGTTACATGAAGACATCTGCTTAGCTTCACTTTATGTAAGTTTGTACATCTTGATACAAGGTTTCTTAAAGATACATCAGTGACCTTGACTGCTGATATATTGACTTCCTTTATATGTGGGCAGTATTTTCCTGTAGAAATAGATAATTAAAATACATAAATCTACATTTGATGAAATAGTTTAAAACAGTAAAAAGAGATTGAAGATTTATAACATAGAAAATTAATTTAATACACATGAATATTTACGTAAATGGAAAAGAATGTTATGCTGCTATTTTTAGTAGATTTGGCTGAGATTTCAGGTAGCTCCATTCATTTTCAATTTAATATACATATGTGGTCATATTTCTTTATTCTATGTGTTCTGTTATCATTTTAATCACAATATAAACATTAAGTAACAAGTAAAATTCACAGACAGCAAATATATGCCTGTATACCGTACACTTATTATCTTACTTAATATCTATGTTCAAATAAAACAGCAAATTAAATGTTGATTGATTAAGCTTGTAAAACTTGGACCAAGAATATAACTTGGACCAAGAATATAACTTGGACCAAGAATATTGTAAGTTAACAAAGGGCCATAATTCAGTCCTAATCCATGCTAGAGTAATTTGCCTTGGCCAGTGATCTCCTAAAATGATCACAGAGTATATGTCAATACAAGCAAATATTGTAAGTGGTAAATGAGATATGTTGTTGCAGGCAAATTTTAACCCTTAACCCAAGTGTCATGTGCATGCCAATGCCCAAGGCCTGGGTTTTTATGACTTACCTACCAAACTTTGAATATCAAACCTTAAAAGTTGAAAGAAGTAACCCTTAAAATATACCTATAATATCCATAGAGAAATCAGACAGGAGTCTTGGTGAGGCAGATAAATCTAGAGATTCTAAATACTGTCCACAGCGTAACAATAGTGACACCAACATCTTGTCTGTTAAACCTGTAGATATAAATAATGCTTGATAAGTCTTGCTGCACTTCATCACAAAATTGAAAATATCATTGCTAAAAACAATTAAAGAAAGCAAGTAAACATTGCTCTAAATCACTATAAAATCATTAAATTATTGCTTAAACTTTTTTCTTGGGATATTAACTAATGTCTGAATTTGTAAAACTAATCAATAGCTGTATCTATGCTATTCACAAATTTAAGTGTGTGGTTTTTTTCTGACAAAAAATGAACCATATCCAGTTGGAACAAAAAAGAGCAGCCTAGCAATGTATTAACCTGTGATATTGACCAATGTTTGACCCTGTGAAATTTACCAATGTATAAACATGTGGTAATGATAAAACTATGAACCTGCGATATTGACCAATGTTTCAACCTGTGATATTGACCAATGTATGACCCTGTGATATTGACAAATGTATGACCCTGTGATATTGACCAATTTATGAACCTGTGATATTGACCAATGTATGAACATGTGGTAAAGATAAAACTATGAACCTGTGATATTGACCAATGTATGAACCTGTGATATTGACCAATTTATGACCCTGTGATATTGACCAATGTATGAACCTGTGATATTGACCAATGTATGAACATGTGGTAATGATAAAACTATGAACCTGTGATATTTGACCAATGTATGAATCTGTGATATTGACCAATGTATGAGCCTGTGATATTGACCTTTGTATGACTCTGTGATATTGGCCAATGTATGAACCTGTGAAATTGACCAATATATAAACCTGTGATATTAACCAATTTATAAACCTGTGATATTGACCAATGTTTGAACCTGTGATATTTACCAATGTATGACCAAGTGATACTGACCAACATATGAACCTGTGATATTGACCAATGTATGAACATGTGGTAAAGATAAAACTATGAACCTGTGATATTGACCAATGTATGAACCTGTGATATTGACCAATGTATGAACATGTGGTAATGATAAAACTATGAACCTGTGATATCTGACCAATGTATGAACCTGTGATATTGACCAATGTATGAGCCTGTGATATTGACCAATGTATGAGCCTGTGATATTTACCAATATATAAACCTGTGATATTAACCAATGTATAAACCTGTGATATTAACCAATGTTTGAACCTGTGATATTGACCAATGTATGACCGAGTGATATTGACCAACATATGAACCTGTGATATTGACCAATGTATGAACCTGTGATATTGACCAATTTATTAACCTGTGATATTGACCAAATTATTAACCTGTGATATTAACCTATAAATGAACCTGTGATATTAACCTATGAATGGACCTGTCATATTAACCAATGTATGAACCTGTTGTATTGGAGAATGTATGAAACAGTGATATTGACCAATGTATGAACCTGTGATATTTACCTATGAATGAACCTGTGATATTAAGCAATGTATGAACCTATCATATTGACTGATGTATGAACCTGTGATGTTAACTGTTGTCTGAAACTGTTGTATTAAACCTGTTATGAACGAACCTGGGATATTAACCATTGTATGAACATGTGACCATTGTATGAACATGTGACCATTGTATGTATAAACTTGTGCTGTTAACCGAATTTTTAAATTCATAAAGGAAATATAAAGACAGAAAGCTTACACTGAAACTGTTTAAATATATTTTTAAAATGAAGCTGTTTTTGTGACACCCATGTCCTCTGGACAAGCCGCTTCCAACGCCAACAAACCCGTTCTATACCCATACGTTGTTTCCATGCCAACATGGTGAATATACGCAGTAAAACATCGTCATAGAGACTGTCTATAGGACAAGAACCTTCTGTCCCAACCTGAAACAATAACAAACAAACAAGTTAGAATATAGAAACAGTGGGCAGCAGACTTAGGTTATGGTTGATTTTTAAGTCATATTTATTCTATTTATATGATAACTTCTTAACATCCAATCATACGACCCTCATAAATGAAGATTTATTTAGCTACGCCAACAACAATGTGACCCATAACAAAATATAAACATTTCTTCTTTTTTGGTTTAGTCTATAGGTTCTCTTTTTCTGCAATAATCATATGACGAAATTCCAGCTTTTACCATTGGAAGAAGAGGGAAGTAAACTGCTAGTGTATTCTGTGCATTATTTTAGGCAGTTTCAAGCATCAGAGCTGAGCCAGGGACCTTCTGAGCTAACAGCAAACCAATAAGCTTGAAAAGTAGTTTGAATTTATTTTTAAGGATGGAAAGAATTTAGTGGTGCTAGCCCTATATCATACCTGAGGTTGATCTAAGGAATGGTCTAAAACAGTACAATGTTCCATTTCTTCTTCAATATCACTGTCATCTTCATTAGAGTCACAATTACGTTTGTCTTGCCAGTATGTTGTCCTTGATGAAAGTTCTGCAGGTTTTACTCTCATTTGTCTATGAAAAAGTGTAAAGATAATTAAAATCTAAAATTGACAAGATTTTCTAGCAGGCACTAGAACAAATCTATCGTTCTTTTGTATGTTATAAAAAGTGGCTCCAAACAAAATATAATCCCTGATAGAAATCAAGCTGCAACCACCACAACAACCAAATGTTTTTGAAATCAGCACTTAAAACGCTCCCTGTCCCACCCAAATATAAACTATATTTAATTTGAGTAAACCAACCCAAACAAACAAAATGTTATTTTATTTTTCGGTTTAATCTTCATCTACATGTAGGTCATTGTTTGACCATGACCGGTCTATAAATAGAGTACCTAAAACTCTCTCTTTTGCTCCTACTTCTTTTCCTTGTTAACATAGTCTATCACTTTCTAAATCAATGTCAAAATCTAAAGAAATTATTGAAATACAAGGACCTTTTTTCTAAAACAGATCAATCTGTATTTTAATAGATTAACTTCAATTAATAATAATTTTCATATTCACCACTTTCCATAACCTACTGCAACAGTAAAATCAGACTGTATACTGTTTGTAGCTCAAGTTTTATATTTTGACAATCTAATTCCCTTAAACGGTTAACAGACTGCTCCAAATCAAAGGCAGGGCAAATCCATTATACAAAATCTGGGGGTTACAGGTTATCTTTCTTTAATATAAACTAACCTCTCATCAAAATAAAGGTCATCTTCTGTTGCTTTAAGTGCTCTCTGCATAGACTCCTCATCTTTGAAGGTCACAAAGGCAATCCTGTAAAATAAGATCTAACAAGGAACATCGCAATGCGATGCAACCAGGTTTTCAGCAAAATATTTCACAGAAGCTTTGTCATGAAGGGGCATTTGTTTTTAATTGAACTTTTAGGAGGAATTATGGCTTTTTTAATATTCCTCAAACAAAAATGATTGAGAAATTTTATGTTGTCTATTCGCCTTTTTTCCCCAAATGTTTTAGAAAGGTAAACAGTACTTTATTTTTGCTTAATTTTTGCATTTTTGCGTCTCTTGTCATTTTCTTTTGTCAACAATATTGGCGTGTGGTGTTTTGTGCGATATCAAGAAAAGTATGTTCACAATTTTAAAAAAATACTTGAATGATGTCTTGGAAGAAACATGGGAATTTAGTGAGCGCCAGGGCACTTGATGACAAAGCTTCTGTGAAAGTTTGGTCAAAATCCATTGAGAAATGTAGGAGAAGTTGCGCACTGTAGAAATTGTTCACTATATATTCTGTATAAGGAAAAAATATACAAAGGGCCATAATTCGGTCAAATATTATCCAATCACAAAACCCGACAATATGTGCCAGGCACTTGAAAACAAAGCTTCTAAGAAAGTTTGGTCAAAATCCGTTGAGAAATGTAGGAGGAGTTGAGCACAGAAGAAATTGTTCTCTATATATTCTGTATAAGGAAAAAATATACAAAGGGCCATAATTCGGTCAAATATTATCCAATCACAAAACCCCGACAATATGTGCCAGGCACTTGATAACAAAGCTTCTAAGAAAGTTTGGTCAAAATCCGTTGAGAAATGTAGGAGGAGTTGAGCACAGAAGAAATTGTTCTCTATATAGTCTGTATTAGGAAAAAATATACAAAGGGCCATAATTCGGTCAAATATTATCCAATCACAAAAACCCGACAATATGTGCCAGGCACTTGAAAACAAAGCTTCTAAGAAAGTTTGGTCAAAATCCGTTGAGAAATGTAGGAGGAGTTGAGCACAGAAGAAATTGTTCTCTATATATTTCTGTATAAGGAAAAAATATACAAAGGGCCATAATTCGGTCAAATATTTTCCAATCACAAAACCCCGACAATATGTGCCAGGCACTTGATAACAAAGCTTCTAAGAAAGTTTTGGTCAAAATCCGTTGAGAAATGTAGGAGGAGTTGCGCACAGAAGAAATTGTTCACTATATATTCTATATAAGGAAAAAAAACAAAGGGCCATAATTAGGTCAAATATATACCAATTGCAAAACCCTGGCAATATGTGTCAGGGCACTTGATGACAAAGCTTCTGAGAAAGTTTGGTCAAAATCCGTTGAGAAATGTAGGAGGAGTTGCGCACAGAAGAAATTGTTCACTATATATTTTATATAAGGGAAAAAAACAAAGGGCCATAATTAGGTCAAATATTATCTTATCGCAAAACCCCGACAATATGCGCCAGGGCACTTGATGACAAAGCTTCTGTGAAAGTTTGGTCAAAATCCGTTGAGAAATGTAGGAGGAGTTGCGCACAGAAGAAATTGTTTACGACCGCCCGCCCGCCCGTCCACCCGCCCGCCGACATACATCAATCTAATAACCAGTTTTTTCCTTCGGAAAAACCTGGTTAAATATTAACCCTTTCCCTGCCAGAGGGTTATTGTTTTATTGATCCCCTATTTGCCAGAGGGTTTTCTAAGAAATTACTATATTATTAATTAATATAATTGTTATTATTTGTTATTAGTATTATAATAATTATATATGTTTCCAAATATGTGAGTATAATAATAATTATTGTTGATGGTATAATTTTCTTTATATTTATTATTATTTTTATTATTTTTATTATTAATTTATTATTATTACTATTATTATTTTAGAAACGGCTAAAGCTGTCCATATGGCAAATACGCCGAAAATAACAGGGACGGTATAAGCCGTCCCTATGGCAGTAAAAGGGTTAATGTGACATTATGCCCATTTAATGGAATATTATATTCAGTGAACAGGTGAAAGTCAAATAAGCTCACATTTTGCCATAATTCCTTTCAATTTAATAATTTACTGTGCATGAACGATAAATAACTAACATGGCCCAAGTTTCTGTAAATATGCACCAGAATTTAACTGTCACAAACAGTTTATAAAACAAGAGGGCCATCATGGCCCTGAGTCGCTCACCAGAAACAAATGCTTTTCAGTGTTGGGATGTCAATACATTCTACATAGAATATGTTTAAACAATAATTTGAAGAAATGTCATGCGCTTGGGCATTTAAGCTTTAGCTTAAACGGGGCTAATCAAATTAATATGAGCAAACTATATAAAAGACTACCTAAGAATGCTACAAAGATTGGTGATCATCTATCAATTATTTCAGTAGGAAATGATGTTCGAAGGTTTTTTCTATTTTTAGCTTTAGTGGCCCCTAAAAGGGGCTAATCAAATTAATATAAGCTAACTTGATAAAAGAGTACCCAAGAATGCTACAGACAAAGTTTGGTGATCATCCATCAATTGGTTCTGAAGTAGGAGATGTATAAAGGTTTTTCTATTTTTAGCTTTAGAGGCCCCTAAAAGGGGCCAATCAAATTAATGTGAGCAAACTTGATAAAAGACTACCCAAGATTGCTTCAGACAAAGTTTGGTGATCATCCATCACTTAGTTCTGTAGAAATAGACATTTAAAGGTATTTCTATTTTTAGCTTTTGCAGCCCCTAAAAAGGGCATATCAAAATAATATTAACAAACTTGATAAAAGACTACCCAAGAATGCTACAGACAAAGTTTGGTGATCATCCATCAATTAGTTCTCTAGAAATAGACATTTAACGGTATTTCTATTTTTAGCTTTAGCGGCCCGGCCCCTGAAAGGGGCCAATTAAATAAATATGAGCAAACTTGATAAAAGACTAGCTTAGAATGCTACAGACAAAATTTGGTGACAATCCATCAATTAGTTCTGTAGGAGAAGATGATTTAAGGTTTTTCTATTTTTAGCCCTAGAGACACCTAAAAAGGGCCAATCAAAATAATATTTGCAAACTTGATAAAAGAGTACCCAAGAATGCTACAGACAAAGTTTGGTGATCATCCATCAATTAGTTCTGTAGATATAGACCTTTAAAAGTTTTTCTATTTTTAGCTTTAGCGGCCCCTAAAAGGGGCTTATCAAATTCATATGAGCAAACTTGATAAAAGACTACCCAGGAATGCTACAGACAAAGTTTAGTGATCATCCATCAATTAGTTCTGTAGAATAAGATGTTTAAAGGTTTTTACTATTTTTAGCTCTGCTGACCCCTTAAAGGGGCCACTTGGAATGACATGAGCAAATTCAAGTGTGACTGTCACAAGGATGCTACAGACCAAATTTGAAGTAAATCTGCTTAGTAGTTTCAGAGAAGAAGATGATTATTGACGCATGACGACGGACGCCGGAGCATCCCCCTTTGATACAAATAGCTCACCCTGAGCCTCGGCTCTGGTGAGCTAAAAAAATGGGAAATCTTTTTATATTTTCGGCAGATTTATATTTTTACAATATCAACCGTTGGTCAATTGCTATTTTAACAGTAAATCTTATTAAATACATAGTTAATTCAGCTCAATTTGACAAGGAAAATATAAGCATGATGTCACTTAAATTAGCTGAATGCTATGAAGGTCACAAAGGCGATTCTGTAAAATAAGATTATTAACTCTTTGATGTGATAATAAAGACTATGTGCCTTTGCCACCAGTATGAAGCCAGGCCAGCCCCAAAATAGTTCAACATGACCTCATTTTCAATTTATGGCAGCCGACACTTTTGATATTAAAATCCCTTGAGATTACATGGCAGGGCCTTATTAACCATACAGGGAACTGGGTCCATAGCCCTTCAGTAGAGGCATTCCATATTGTTTAGAAGAAGGGGAATATTTGTTAGTCAACAATCATGGCAAATAATGTACTTGTCTATAAGATGGATTTTTTATTACTTTGAAAAGTCTTTGATTTTATGATGTACTTTCATCTTTTTTTTTTACTGAGTTTTGTTTCAATTTTCCATGTAAGTACAGAAATGTAAAAAGTTTTGACATGGTCTTAACTCTTTTCCGCCATACAAAAATTATATTATTATATATGTCTATAATACTATATATATGCAGGTTTAATAGTATGTGTTAATAAGTTTTTTTTCTTTCATAATTTGATCTTAATAAGATCACTTACCCTCTTGACCATTTCTTAATATGGTCTTTTACGATGTAACAGTAGTCAACTGGGCCAAACTTACTGAAAAACTTGCTTAGTTTTCTTGACTTTATCTGCAACAAGAAGAATTAAGAATTAATTCAAATTTCTAAAGGTGTTTTAAAAAATTATTATGAATAAAGTACATGTAACTGGTAACCTTTCACAAGTATTGCTAATAGCCTAAATCCTTTCATTATAATAATATCAACCCTGTACTTCAGATGATACATTCAGATGTATTGTCATCCTAGTGCAGTAACAGGTTATCACCTTATATTATTTAATACAAGTTAAAGTGATATTTTGCTCATTTTTTTTTTTGCTGTCAAGTTGAGAAGAAATTGGTAATATATTTCTAAATATTAGCTATTACAATCATAACTGACCAATAATTGATGATGAGCTGCGTCACGACAAAACCAACATAATGGGTTTGCGACCAGCATGGATCCAGACCAGCCTGCGCATCCGCGCAGTCTGATCAGGATCCATGCTGTTCGCTATCAGTTTCTCTACTTGTTATAGGGTTTGTAGGCAAACAGCATGGATCCTGATCAGACTGCATGGATGTGCAGGCTGGTCTGGATCCATGCTGGTCGCAAACCCATTATGTTGGTTTTGTCATGACGCGGCTCAAATCATCTTCCTTAAACACCATAAATTTCTAAGCAAGATGGGAAGTAATTCTGGCTGAAATGCCATGTTTTCATTATAAGAGTTCAACCTTTAATAGCTTAATTCCTCTATTGAGTATTCTAATACAGTCTACTTTTAAATTCTTACCCTGTAGCTGACATTGCCGACAAATATTTTCCTGTTGATATTGAATTCTGTCACATCTGTAGTTGTAGATTCAGTATTTAATTCTTTCTTGACCTCTTCATTCTCTTCCATTGAAAAGAACTGAACTTTTCTTAATATCTGTAAACTTACTGTTAGTTATGTATTGTTCAATCTGTAATTAAAATGTTGTCAATTTTCATTTTGTAAAAAGTCAAATAAGCAAACCTGAAAAGGAAATAAAAATCTAGTTAAGGGTTCTTTTTCAGTATTTTAGGAACATGAACCATACCCTTGGGATTGGGAATTTTTGCCTTGTTTTGCTAAAATTTTGGAAAAAAATATTTGAATATAATTTTCAAAACTTCCAATAATGTTAAATGAAAATCAAAGTTGCAATGATTTTAAAACAACACAAATTATCATAAGCACATAGCAGTCTTTAGAACAGCATACTTAAGTTTTTACATGAAAATGACAATCATCCAGTCCTTGAGTCTCATTAACATAAATTATCATAAGCACATAGCTGCCATACACCATCTTCATTTGCTATATGTATATCAATCAAAACTATTTTGATTAAGGTTCAAACAAATTTTTTTTTTAATTTTGCATGTTCATTTTAAGTTTCTGACTCTTAACTTTCTTTTAACACCATTTCCTAAATATTGTTTTTTTGAGCCGTGATTCAATGCAATTGATAAACAGTAAATTTAGTTCTTTAATCCATAATGATAATCCAAATTCTATCACATATATATCAGATTTAATGATGATTGATATTTTAATAGCCATTAAATCATATAATACAGTTATAATTAATTACTATCATAAGTAACATTGATAACAAGTGATAAACAACAACCACAAAATGGCCAATTTATAAGTGAATAATGTATATGTATGTTAATCATGTCGGTTTACATTCCATAATCAATTGTGGTGAAATATAAATGTCAGAAACTTTTTCGGCGACTAAAATTTCAGTTTTCCGATCAAACAGGACAAAGTGGAAATATTTTCGACAAATTCTTTCCCCAGACTTTGCCCTAAACACCGTCCAACCAAAGTCTATAAACACATTTACTACAGCCTTTGCGATTGTTTTCCGTACACAAAAATCATCTTTTTTTTCTCTCAACTTTTGATTGGGAATTTTTGCCTGTGAATTGGGAAAAAGATACTTATAATTTCTGATTGTAAATATAACCGAAAAGCGGAAATAAAATTGGCTGAAAAAAAAACAAAACGCTGTAGACTATGATTGCTATCAGGCAAGCCAGCTACCCCCACCACCACATGTACATGAGAACATGAAGTAATCTTCTTAATATTGCTGCCCAAGCAAAGAATATGAATTACTCATTTACTGACTGACAGAGGATAATACAAAACTTTATTATGTAGGGCTTTGGCTTGCCCGGCTTTAGACGGTAGACAGACGTTTCACTATTGAGACGGTTCACACCAAGACGGTTCACACCAAGACGTTTCACTCCCAAATGGGAGTGAAACGTCTTGAAGACGTTTCACTCCCTTTTTATACCAAAATTATTTTGATACTTATGATATACTAAAATAAACCTAAAATATTGAATTAAATTAAACTAAAATATACCTTAAAATTAATAAAAATAAATTAAAAAGGGGGATTTCACTTTTTTGTCAATGACTTAAAACTCAGTACTTTAAGTTCTATCATTTCAGTTATCTTATCTTCTTTATTGTTGTTTTGAAATAAGGTGTTTTTTTCTATTTTTAATCCATATGTCATTATGTGCAATTATCACATTATTTCACTTAAAGAAAAACTATTTTTGATTAAAATAACACTGTAATATAACTAACTATTTGATCTTTTGTAAACATGGACTCAATAGGCTGCCTATTTTAAGGCAATTTTAATTTAAAGCAGAACAATCTTGTGACAATAATTAACTTCTTGTTGTTAATTTTAAACATGGGATAAAAAATGTTAAATTATTTAATGCTAGTACAGTACTTTTGCGATATATGTCAAAAAATTTAATGGCCATTGAAATCAGAAATAACTTTAAATTAGATTAGGAGCATTGGGACTTTTATTCAATATTTGTCATGTATAATCATTTTTATGTGACTAAAATTCATTATTATATAAACAAAACTTATGGAGAAGTTTCTGTGTTTAAATTGGCTGTTGTCAAAAAATATTTTAATGGTCCAATAAACCACTGAATAGTAAACTGTTGATGCTTAAGTGCAGTGTTTATACAACTGATTTAATAGTCACAGGTGTCAAACTGATAGTTGATTGTCTCAGTGTTTATTCAACTAATTAGGCGATGAGATAACACCACAATTACTTAAGTCTGTTTAATGACTACTGTTTAATAAATTGATGAAGAAAATAATTTTAAAAGATAATTTATTTCATACATGTTTCGCATTTCATTGTTTAAGAGTTAGACTTACAAAAAAATAATCATTATATAGTCAATATATTTAATATATTGATATTTTTTATTATTTGAATAATATTAATTACTTTACTGGTAGTGATTTCAATATTTAAACTGATACTTATAATATGTCTTTGTTGTTCTTTCTATGTTATTCTATTTTTTTTTAATTTACTATAAATAAAATTTCCTTATGTTGTTACACGTATAATAAAAGTGATACTTCAGTAATTTGTCTTTCATTTATACCTCTTATCACTCAACCCATAATTAAATGAGTAATAATATATAGAATTCTATACCTATCAATGAAATTTTCAGTGTCAGTTCTAGTCGGGCGCCGCCATTTACAATGTAACGCAATGATAATAGGTGGGGTATTCCGATAACGGAACAAATCTCAACTTTTCGGATAAATGATAATCGTCGAGTGTTCCAGGGCCGGCAAAATCTGATTTTGACTAACTTGTCCGTTTTTACTTGAAGCATTTCCTTACTTGTCCGTATAGTACTTATATAGTAAATTTTAGAAAATTTCCACTTGTCCGTACAGGCTGTGGGACAACCTGGGCAATACGGACAATTGATTTTGCCGTCCCTGTGTTCCGAGTGAAAACGGAAGCGGTGCATATAATACCGAATGACACTTTTAAAACGGAAAGAATGAAAGGAATTTTTCACGACTTCCTCGTTCATAGGCTTTGCCTAATTTCATATTAGGACTGAATGTTACCCAAGATCAAACCCGGGACCTCAGGAATGACAGCCAGTTACCAACTGAGCTATTGCGCCACCCTAACTAGCAGATGAAGGTTTGAACAGTTTTATATTAAAGTTTAATCAAAAATATAAAAACAACAAAATAAACTGCTGAAATTTCTCAAATATAAACGCACGTGAATCTGGTAGGATGATTTGCACGAGGAAGTATACATTGTAGCTAATAGTCGTTGATTTTTTTAATTGTTCCTCAGTCAAGATACTCACCGACTTAAAATGATTTTAATAATAAGTTTTGGTGTTAAAACAACAGATACTTTTTCTGAACATACAACAATGTGTGATTTTTACCTGAAATAAGAACAACTTGATAAAGTTTTCTTTCTGCGCCGTTTATGCTGAATTATCTCCAATTAGGAGAGTATTCTTGAAAGGTCAGACTAGACTATTCATCACCTTACGTCCTTTGATAGACTGTCCTTTAACCCATTACTTCATATACACGCCTTTTAACGCCTTTTTCACCCCCCCCCCTTTTTGTTGTCTCAAATGATGAAAAAATGCCTTATTTAGGCCCCAAACACTTGTTTTTGTTTGAGAAATGTTGTTAAAAAAGTGACCTCTTTTTCGGCGCGGCCCCCAACCAAAAGATACATCAGGGGGTTGCCAGAAGGGGGATGTGTCCCCTTCTGTTTGGGGGGTTTGAAGGGGCGCGGAGTCCCCCTCATCGCCAAGAAAATTTTGGACTTGTGAAAGGCTGTAAATGACCCCAGATTGATCATAAGGTATTGTGTAACCAACGCTGAAAAGCATTTGACTCTATCTCAATCCATTGAGAAGTTACAGCACTTTGAAATCAATTTTGATGGAAAAAATCAACGCAAAATAGTGATTTTTGGCAATTTTGAGATGTCCCCTCGTTGCCATGGTAACAGAAAATTTAAGCCTGAGCATGTTGTTGCAAGGGCAATGGTCCAGTCAACATTTGTGCAAAGTTTGATTAGTGTTGAAGCAGTTTTTATAGTATTATAGCAATTTGAACTTGTAACGGGAGACTTTTAATGAAAACAGCCATTTTTCACAAAAAGCTCATGAAGTAATGGGTTAAGAAGTGGCCCGAAACCCACAAAACTAAAAAAAATCATCATGAGGTGGTGTTTTTTTCTATGATACGGTAGAGTGAACTAAAAAGAAAATATCATTGCTGATTACAATTGAGTTTGACACTTTTATAGTAAATTGATCATGAAATCCTTTCTACGGTCATTCGCATTATATACCTCTTTAAATTTCTGGTTATGCACACAAATTTCAGTTCCTTGACAGCCTGACCACCATGAACGATGCCGTGACTGAACTGTGCTCTAGTAAATTCAGTGTTGCTTAAAGCCGTGATCCGGACTGAAAACTACCACCACCACAGGTAAATATTCACAATTCAGACACGTTTCAGAAAAAAGATTACTTGAACATGGCGCTGACTGAGACGTGATACGCGTCATGCGCATATCTTCTAGTGTCTAGGAACATAATAGTTAAATTGCGGATTTGAAACCAAATCATTTTAAGTGTTCCTTGAAATGTCCTTCTTTATCACAATGTTGTCTTTGTTTGATTATTCGACTCGACGTACATTCACCATGTTTGCAGTTAGACCATTTGCAAAGCATATAATATGAAATTAGGCAAGGCCTATGAACGGGGAAGTCGTTAAAAATTCCTTTCATTCTTTCCGTTTTAAAGGTGTTATTCGGTATTACATGCACCGCTTCAGTTTTCACTCGGAACACTCGACGATTATCATTTATCCGAAAAGTTGAGATTTGTTCCGTTATCGGAATACCCCGCCTATTATCATTGAGTTACATTGTAAATGGCGGCGCCCGACTAGAACTGACACTGAAAATTTCATTGATAGATATAGAATTCTATATATTTTTTAATTGTTTTTTATTTGATTTTCTTTTACATATACACGTGTAGTCTATAGCCGGGCAAGCCAAAGCCCGGACCCGCTTCGCGGGCCCGGTCTTTGACTTCCCCGTATAAAGCCCTGGTTGCTTTATAATTAAGGAGGGTGGCCACGTGGTGAAAGTGTCTGCCGCTCAAGTCAAAGATCGTTGGTTCGAACTCTAATCGGGTCACAACTATGTTTCCTCAAATGTCACCATTATTGCCTAGTTCCAGAAAGCGGCATCAAAAGTGTTTAATATCAGCTACACGAGCTTTTCTTATAATCGGACTTAAATAAAAATGTTAACCATTGGTCTGCCGGGCGTGATCTTAAAAGTTTTGCGCCCCACAAAATGCAGAGTTCCTGGGAGTCTTGGCAAGTACGAACTTAAATTTTCATCTAGATATCCAAATATTCATAATTTTATCACTTTATTTGTAAATTCATATCTTAAAACATTATAAGTTATTTTGACGAGTCAGCCGTCATCCTTTCCAACCCACTGAGGAAATGAATCTATGTCTTGAACTTGTTTTCAAATCATCTCCCGAATTTTATTAAGTCATAAAGTCATTAGCATTGTTTACCTCTTAAATTATCTTAATATTTTATATCGTCAGTCTTACATATACTATTTGTTTAACAATGTCTTCTGGTTGTTATGTATATTTATGTTTTAAAATTTGGAAATAAAATTAATATTGTTTGAACTTGATATTGTAAATGGGCAGTTCCAAACATGGAATATGGATATGTCCATATATGAAATTCAGCGGATTTATTATAGCCTTATATATAGGATAACCTTCATATTAATTGCTGATTGTTAGCTGACGCAGACAGTGTTAAAATAAATACATTCGGTGAATAAACCACATAATTGACAACCTAGCTCCGTCATTTGGCTAAACATTTAACATGTAAATGCTAGCCGTTCACTTCAACAAAAGAATAAATACATTTGTAATTGAGAAAATGACCATTTGAATAAAAATTGAGAAAAGATTAACATTGATACTAGTTAACTAAAGCCTTCGGAGAACAATATGTAACAGAAAGAGCATCGGAACACGAGGCTATCTGATTTGTACGAGGGGCCGTAGCCCCCCCCCCCCCCCCCCGAGTATTTATCAGATTGCCGAGTGTGTTGATGTTCTTTCTCTTTTGTATCATAGTCAAACATAAAAACACGTTCTCTGTTGTCACAATAAAAAAAACCAGAAAAAAAGTAACCAATAAACGAGCATCTGAATATGATATTTCTATCGCTTTCCCTTTCTCTGCCGTCACAATAAGTAAACCCCAGCAAAAATGAGTCAATCAATGGGCATGCTCTGGAGTGCCTGCACTCCAGTTAACGCACTGTGCATGTATATGTAATGAATTTAACTCTGACACATTTTCAACAGAAAGGTCCCCAAACTATGACACAAATCATAAATAAAAGCTCAAGGTATCTTTCTAAACTAGGAAAAGGGGGAAAAAACATTTCTGTATAAACATATTTATTTTTCCTGGTATAGTTATTTGATAGTATACATCTTTACATTCATTTTGTCAAAATACAGACATGATACCTACGTAGCAGAACAAACATTAAGACACAAGTCGCCCATGCCAATTGAAATCATGGCACTTTCAAAGAAAAGGGGCAAATTATATGTTGCATTCGTTGATTTCAAAACAGCATTTGATTCTGTCAATCGTAACAAGCTTTGGCAAATACTTTACAATGCTAATATAAGGGGAAATCTTTTAAATTCTGTTATTGCTATGTATAATAATGTAAAAGCATGTGTACGTTCTAACGGTCAAATCTCCGATTATTTTAATTGCCCGATGGGCCTCAAGCAGGGATGTTTGGCTTCGCCGAAATTGTTCTCATTTTTTATAAATGAATTATCAGTTATGATGAACAATGACGATAAAATTAAAGGTATACAGATAATGCCAAATGAAATTTCAATATGGCTGCTAATGTTTGCGGATGACGTAGCCTTGATTGCACAAACAGTTAGAGATTTACAATATCAACTTAATGTATTAGAAACGTTTTGCAAGTCTAGTTGTTTGCAAGTAAATATATCAAAAACAAAAGTCATGGTTTTTAAAAAGGGCAGTCGATTAGCGCGTAATGAATGTTTTTATTATAATAATCAGCAACTTGAAATAGTTAATTCTTTTACCTATGTTGGAGTAACATTTACATCCACTATGTCGTTAAATATTATGAGCAATGAACTTGCAATGAAAGCTAAACGAGTATTATTTTCTTTACTTTCTTCTTTGTATGATTATGGACAATTGCCTTCAAACATATTTTTTAAATTATTTGATACCAAAATATTACCGATCCTTCTGTATGGATCCGAATTATGGGGTTTTAAAACCCGTGAAAATTGTGAGCTTATTCAAATAGAACATCTAGTAATAATGTAGTATTAGGCGACTGTGGTCGTTATCCAATTTATGTAGAATCTGCCATGCGTTGCATAAAGTACTGGTTCAAATTATTGAAATTACCTAATGACAGATATGTAAAAATTTGTTATAGAATGCTTTCAAGTACAACATGTGCTAAATATTTTAATTGGGCAAATGAAATTGAACATCTCTTATGTAGTAATGGGTTTGGGCACGTTTGGTTGAACCAAGGAGTTCAAAATGAAAGATTGTTTCTCCATTTGTTTTGTCAAAGACTTAAGGATAATTATTTGCAAGGATGGTATAGCAAGTTAGATTCTAGTGATTGTCTCTCATTGTATAATCGTATTAAAAACAATTATGACCAAGAAACTTATATATCTATCTTAAATATCAGGAAATTCAGACATTGCTACGCTCAATTACGTTCAGGGCTTTCACATTTAGAATCAATTCTATCAAAAAATATAATACTGATACTATAAACTACATAGTTTATAGTATCAGTATTATATTTTTTGATAGAATTGTTTGATTTTGTATTGACATGTATTTTGAATGTATTGAAGTATATTTGGGTAGTATTGTGGGTCCTGGGGGGTGGTACCTTAGGGGTAGGGCTTGGTCCCACGCCGATAACCTGTGTTCGGATCCGGTGCTAGGGAGCAAAACTCTCTCATTTTCGGACGTTAAGACGCCACCTGTTGAAACCGACCATTTTCAAATTGTAGTAAACTGCTGGCAGAGGTTACAGCCCTGAATCAGTGCAATGATTATTGCAAAGAATTATGGGGAGCTCACTGTCCAGCGGAAATTTTTATTGAATTAAATATTACTATTAACTATTGCAACTTTCTGATCGAATTTTAAACAAGCTGTTGAGACCATCTTGACTGTTATAAATAAGTCATTTTTTACCTATATATGGAACGCCAAGTTTATGTCAATTCAATTCAGTTAACTCTCTTTCCAATTCACACATTCGCATATTATTATAGCCACTATTACAAATTGTTAAAGGAGGTGTGAAGATTATTATTTAAATTTCCAATTATCAGATCTTTAATTTAAGCTCTTATACTTGCTGTAACCAAATTGTATATTGACCCATTGCAGCAATGGTCAATCTGGTAACATGACACTTGATGCGTATGGGCCATTGATAATGGTAGACCCCAGCTCATCACAATAGAGTACAGCCCCTTAATAATATAATACAGCACCTTTATAAAATAGTATAGTCCTTTTATTTTTGAGAGCATTCCCTTTATTATAGCACATGCCTTTAAAATATTAGTACAGCCTCGAAGTCCCTTTATAATAAAACAAAGTCCCTTTATAATATAGTACAGCCCCTTTATAATAGAGCACAACCCCTTTATAATAGAGTAGAGCCCCTTTATAATAGAGTACAGTCCCTTTATAATTTATCACAGAGTACAGACGCTTTACAATTGAGTACCGCTTTATTATAATAAAGCCATTTTACAATAAAACACACCCGTTTATAATAGAGTTCAGCCCCTTTATTATAATACAGCCTCTTTGTAATGTAGCACACCCCTTTTATAATATAATACAGTCCCTTTCTAATGTAGAACATCCCATTTATGATAGAGTACAGCCTCTTTATAAAAGCGTCTCTACAGTTTTTATACTACCGTCACAGCTTAAGATCTGTCATGCAATATACATTATTTATATTTTAGTTTAGATAATTAAAATGTTTTATGAGCACGTGGATATTATGTCGTTATTTTAGATCTACCCATGACATAACATAAGTTAGCATTACTGCTAAAACTAACGTTAAATCAGGTCAAATATACTGTTGGTAGATCATTTTCTTCATTTTCATATTGAAATACTCTTTGAAAGTAATTTTCCAAATTCAAAGAAGGGCAAATCCATTACGCAAATACAGCAGGGTGGGGGAGGGTTGGGGTTAACATATATGAAAGTCATGCGTTGGAGTTTATTGAACTTCTATGTGCCGAGTTGTGCCATGTTGTATTTTCGCTCACTTTGTCGTCACTTTGCCATATTTTCGTGTTTTCACCTGGCGCCCAGCGGAGCGAAAATACGACATGGCACAAATCAGCCACTATAAACTACAGCTTAGTAGATTTAAATAATTGGAGAAAAGTTAAACCTAGCATGTTTGACGTTCCATAATTATGTTAGCTTGATCTTTATCTGACACTGGTCAAAATGTGACCTTTATGCACTCACGAGTGAAACTATGTCAAAGTTTGTACATAAATAGCATGTCATAAATTTTATGTCCAAATTTAAGGTACATGAATATAAGAGCTTAATATATGAAAATTAAGAGTTTTCAATGCAGTTCACACCTGCAAAATTATATACCTAATGTAATAATTGGTAGATAAAGAAAGTAATGTTAAATATAGACAACTAGCTGGGAGTGGTAACATTTTTTTTGTTTGGTTATTATTGCATATTTAAAATGGTCATTAAACACGTTTTAAAAAAAATGCATAGACTTAATTATATCGTTATCGAATATTTGAGTTTTATTATAAAAATTGAGAAAATAATAGCGTAAACGCACTTATCAAACACCTTGTTGTCTAACTAATTTAATCTTTCTTTAAGATTTTAGCGTACTTAATCTTAAAGGATTCCACTAAAGGTTTTTTTTGACATGATGGGACTGAACTTTTGTTTCTATTTAAATGTACCACTTTGGTGAAGGGTTAGACCACTAATCTTTGTGCAAAATTTCAGATCATTCGCACACTTCATTTTTCCAAAATAATTATTCAAAATGTAAAAAAAATGCGTTTAAACACTTTTCACTCAAATCGGGCTAAGAAAAGCATAAAAATACGATTTTCAATTTATTTCAAAGTATATTTCTTAACTATCTTTGCATATATTTCTGTTTTAAGTACTCTAGCTCATTTATGTAAAAAATCATATATTATATTTCTAAGCGTTTAAAACTCAGTGTAGTCCCTTTAAAAACAAATATTTATTGCAGGGGAACTAGACTTGTAGATAAACCATGCGAAGTTCGGGTCATAAGGTCGCCTTCTAGATATGAATTTTTATTTACGCAGTGTCTAATGTTTAAATGATTTAGCGTGAAACTGACGTGTGTAAAAATATATAGATATTGTAAACATTATAGGATAATTGAGGACTTGCTGCATAAAGTACGTTATTATTATAATAATTCCTGAAAAAAAATGGTTATATTTTTGCAATTTTTGAACAATGTGGCAGAATTAAATTAATCATATTAAAATATCATATTTTGTAAAGGTAGAGAATAATTTAGAATAAACCAGTGACTTGTTGTGAATTTAATCAATTTTTAAGTGTAGCAAATACCAATCAGGTAAAGAAAATGTTATAATTTTTGCTGGTGGTATAAACTTGTAAAAACATGTTAACAGCTACATATCGCCAACCATTTCCATCATAATGAATACGTGTAACCAGTGAGGTGTTTCAAATACGAAATTAGACTTGAATTATCTAGATATTGAATCTTGTTTTGTTCGGTTTTGTTTTGATAGCGTGACTTAGCCTAGGTGCAAAGTGTGACGTAATTTCTGTAAAGAATTTCATAAAGATAACATTATTTTGTCTTTATGCATCAGCCATTCTATTACATCTATTTCACATATCTGTATAAATTAACAGAGACAATTTGTGATATGGCAGAGGCAATTTGTGATATTCTGGTTTTTATACTACCATTAAACACATTTGCTGTTAATCTCGGCAATCGGTCTACCTAAATGGATGTTGTTAATCTCGATGACCTGTCTACCTAAATGGCTGTTGGTTATCTCGGCGGCCGGTCCACCTAAATGGCTATTGTTTATCTCGGCGGCCGGGTTACCTAAATGGTTGTTGTTAATCTCGGCGTTGGTATGCTATATGTCTTATATATGTAATTTTTAAGTGAAAACACCAGCATAAAATACTTTAGATTGATCAAAATACTTATAAAGTTAGTTGCTGCATTAAAATACAGTGAGATCTTGGTGAAGAAAAAAGTGAGGCGTCCAAGTCTAAAATAACTCAAAAACTGCTTCCTTCAAATGGGACCAAGTACATACCGTACATATAGCCAATTATATATATTATATTTATAGTAATTAAAAGATACTCGGCAGTGCGTTTTACGGTTGCCTTTAATTTCCGAGTGTTATTTTTAACTATGCTAAACCTATATCGTAGAACACTGATTGCGTGTCCGGCAAGTATCGGGAACAGGATGGCAAATAGCCCGTATTTACCGGAAGTCAGAATGAAAGCAAACAGTTTACGACCGAAAAATATGTGAGAAAAGCTTAAGTTATATCTGAATGTTTGATAATAGAAATAAAACTACTACAAAAATTTATAATTACAGCATGGCAAATATAGCAAACCAACCAGCTTTACGTTTTAAAGACAAAGTTGCCATAGTGACCGGTGGAGTACAAGGGATCGGTCGAGGCTGTGTTGATGTGTTTGGTAAATGAAGTTTATGTATTTAGATATAGTAAATACCTCTGTTACTTAAATTAAACACATTTCATACAAAAAGCCTCTTTAGATTAGTTACTTACCCTCCCGTCATGTCGTTTTCAATTATTTTTGACCAAAGTCAGAATCTCGCATTAAAATCAGTATATGATTAAATCTTGAATATAAGGTCTGATTCGCGGACGCCATATTCTTTGATATTTATTTCAAAATTAATTAAATTCGACCAATCTTGTAACTTTCGATTTTGCACATGTATTCTTTTGTCATTCTCAGTCTAAGACTGGCATAAATTTGACCAATTCGGTCACATTCAAGTTTGCATTTATTATTTTGTCATTCTCAGTCTAGGACTGGCATCAATTCGGTTACATTCAGCTTCAGACTTGCAAATATTCGACCACAAATGTCACTTTCCGCAATTTGACGACGTTTTTGCCGTTAGTACAGTCTTAAAAAAATTGGTTGTCTCATACCGGCGTTTACTGATTCTTTTAAACATCCAGATAGTGACAATTCAAAATTTTTGACCTTATTTACTGTGGAAATAATTTTTTTTGAATTCAATATATGTTTACACTATATTCTACCATTTTGAACATTTATATATATGACTTTACACAAAAATACATAGTTTCGTACCTTTACATGTATTTTTAAAGGGTGAAATTTAGAAGAAGAAAAAACAACAAAACAACATTACTTATTATTGCATTCAATATTTCAGTTGAACAAGGTGGAAAAGTAGCAGTTTTTGACATCAATGGTAACTATTGTTTTACTTTTTTATCGTTTAAAAAGAAGCCAACTTGACGTTAGTTAACCAACTTGACTTAAGCCAGTAACATCGTCGGTTATCCACGGTATATATTCCGTACATACTACATTATCTAGTAGTATATAGTATGTACGGAATATATACCGTGGGTAACCCACGATGAGTCAGTAATTGATCATGTCAAATACACGTGATTAATTTTAGTACAGATGTATAAAATCACGTGGTTCACTAGAGCACAGATGTATAAAATAACTAAATTCACTAAAGCATGAACGCATTGATAAAAATTACAGTTGAAGATAGATACAAATGTACTTAAATTTCATTTCACGCACGCACTATTTATTCTTTTTACAGACGATGTCGGACAAGCCATGAAGTCTGTTGGACCGGGGGAAATAATATACTTTCACTGCAACATGAGAAAAGAAGAAGAAGTTAAGGTACATATCTTTGCAATATCAGATGAGTCTGGCGCTTTTAAATTTAATCTTTCGAAGGGGCTGCCACCATAATTATAGTACTGCACATCTTAGGCGTGTAATATCAGAGGGTTAATTTCATCGTATACGAAAACAAATTTTAAGACTAGAAATTTTAATAATTTCGGGGGCTTCTGCAGATGTTAATGCACGAAAAAGACGCATTGCTATGATGGCTGATTTGGAACGCTTTCGTGCGTCGTGTTAGCGCTACCGACAACATGACAAAGCGCCAAACGGCTTTGTTATTTTGCTGTTATACTTGGGCTATATTTTTTGTGCAAAAATAATAGAAAAAAAGCTTTCCACTTAACAACTTACTTAAATGTTAAGCTTTCCATAAGTTACACTCATAAGAATTGACATTGTTTCACTAATTCAAACAGTGTTTTGTTGTTGTACCCGTGTTGTATTATTCCAAGTTTTTTGTACTTTTTTTTTTTCTTGTAATGCTTTTATAGGAAATAGGTATATATTCATTTGTTAGGTTATTTAAAGTTGTTTTAATTTTTTATTCGGCTCATTGATACTTTGGATGTTTTTGGTCTACAGAATTGCGTGGAAGAAACCGTGAAGAAACTGGGTAAAATAGACTGTCTTGTAAACAATGTTGGATGTTGTAAGTACAAGAAAATATTAATTAACACTTACCATGCGAAACATGTTAAATGGACTCGTCCATCTTTTATCCTGGACAAGACAAGTCTTTATCTTTCAAGGGAAATTTGAATAATTTGTATTGACTTGAATAACGTACAGTACAGATCTGCAGACCATGATCAGATGACCCGGATGTGCCGACTGATCTTGGTCGGCACTCTGTTCGTTTGGATAGAATAAGCTACAGTTAATGCACATCTCTCTTATGGCCATGATTTTTTTCAGTATGAAAGTCGGACGGTTGCCATTAACGGAGCTCCACTGTGGTCAACAAGCCTAAAAACATTAAGTTTGACATTCTTGCTTATATTGATAAAGTTATGCTCTTTAAATGGAAAATTCTACAAAAGACGATGAAGATAGATATAGATAGATCGATATACTGAATGAAAGATATACGATGCTCAGATTTGAAAATTGCCAGGATTTGCTACAAAGTATCTTTGTAAATATGAAATAATGATGTTTTGACTTCACACAGAGTAGAAATGTTATGTTTAAAATTCAACACTCTAAAGGATGTCACAATATGAATATGTAGGTAGTGTTTTTAAAAAAAAGACCAACTTTAGGTTCTCCGGTTAGCTCAATGGGTAATGCGTTGGACTATGAATCGGTGCAGGTCACTTTCGTCGTGATTGATCATGAAATCTTTTCTACGGTCATTCGCACTGTACCTCTGCTTTGGCATTTACAGAAGTTCTGTTCCTTGCGAAAGTGGAAGCAACTAATACTGGTAGACTGCCTGCCAGCCTGCCCAGGAACGATACGGTGGCTGAACTCTGCTCTGGTAAATTCAATGTGACTTACTGCCGTGATCCGTCGTGAAAACTACTACCACCATACAAAGGCCAACTTTACTTGACCTGTAATAGGGAACGCAGCTTCAAATACATAACTTATTCATTCTTATATTCAAATTAGACATATTCGGTATGAAGTTCAAAGATTTCAATAAATGTTTTGATTAAAATATTTTACCCAAGGATGAGCATGGTATATCTTTTTTGCTCGATATTTGGCCTTGGTTGAATGCAAAACGTTGCAATACAAATTATTAGTACAGACTATGCAAGTCTCGAATAAATATATCCTTAAAGTTAAAAAACCCACAGTTGTCCTTTAATTTCCGCCTTCTTTAATTCATAATCACGATTCTAGCCGAACAAAAATGCTGCTAATTTAACAACCAAACAAAACATACGTAAAATGCATTTCATGCAAAATGCAAACCGGCTCGAAAATTAGTATTAAAATTTAAATGCGGTGTGCTTAAAAAGACTCGACTTAGGTTTTTTTTACGGCTGTATGTGACTGGAAATATTTGTCCGAGTTTTGTGTACCATTTGAGACAAAAATGAAAAATGTTGCAGTGCTTTTCATTCAATCAGGCTAAAAATCGCATCAAAAAGAAAAAGAAATTCTGAGTTAATTACTTTATTTTTTATATTATAAATGCATGACTTAATCTATGTAGGAATGTCAAATTTTGTGTTTCAGGCTTTTTGACCTCAGTGGAGCTATGAATGCACAAAATATTTAGTGTTGTTCAAACCGGATATGCAAAGAAACAGTTCAGTCGTATGCTGTTTTGCCCAAAGTATTGAATTCATCATAATCATTCCAAAGTGTTCGGGATTTAGTTTCCGAATAATTATTAATAAGGTCCATTTTCCCTCCCTTCTGCGTTCCATAGTGGGCGGGATTTAGTTTCTGAATTATATTAATTAATAAGGTCCATTTTCCCTCCCATCTGAGTGCTCCATAATCATTCCATAGTGGGCGGGGTTTAGTTTCTGAATATTAATAAGGTCCATTTTCCCTCCATTCTGAGTGCTTCATTTATTTGCAACAAAAATATAAAAAAAACAACTTCTCACACAAACGCTTTAATTTAGATTTGATTGAATGGCTGCAATTCCCTTTTCATTCTTTTGCACATTTCGAATCAGGGCTCTGACTGTTGGACTTTTCGTTGAATCTTTTGCGTGAGGATTTTTTAGATAACTTTTCCGGTGATCCGATGTGGCTGTGTTGTTGTCGGTAGCGGTCCGTGAGCATATGTTTTACATTTTATGCGACCGGACGATCGCTAACATATTTTTTACGTGCTTTTATAAAGTGATAAATGCTTTTTCAAAGCAAACAAAATTGCCCCACTGACTCCAAAAAGCTTTTTTGTCCGCAATTTTTGCAACCAGAGCATTTGATCGTCGCTTTAAGCAATTAGACACCATCACTTACCCCGTTCAGCCCCGGTCATCTTTTTTCTTACAATTTCTTTTTTTAATTACGATTAAATTATATTCGGTATTTGAAATGTTTGTATATCTTTTTGACTTTTTATTAAAAAAATCGGAGCTTTTAAAGAATTGATTATTGAAATACTTTGAAAGATTTAAATTAAGATTTTTATTTTAAACTGAAAAATATCATGAAAACTGATTGACCTTTGACCTGGATTTTTTTTTCAGATTATGGTCCAAAAAGTATTGACGAGATATCTGTACAAAACTTCCGGGACCTATTGGAGGATAATTTAATTAGTAATTTTACTGCAAGCAAGGTTAGTTTTCCATGTAATTTCGGTATCACGTGACCAAATTAGATTATTATATAAGCACCGACAATTGATCTTATAAGCAATGACAGATTATTATATAAGCAACGGCAGATTTTCATATAAGCAACGGCAGGTTTACATATAAGCAGTGACAGATTTCCATGTATTCAACGGCAGGTGATCATATACGTAACGGTAGATTTCATATAAGCAATGACAGATTTCCATGTAATCAACGGCAGGTGATCATATAAGTAAAAGCAATGTCAGGTCTTTATTTAGGCAACAGCAGGTTTTCATATAAGCAACGTCAGATTTTTATTTTATTTTGTAAGTAGCCGCAGATTATCATAATTATAAGCAACGGCAGTCATATAAGCAAGGTTGATAATCAAGGGAAGGTTTTAAAAGATAAGCAGGGTAGGTAATCAAAATAGATGTATACATTTAGTCAGACATTTACAAATAAGCGATGACCATTATCAAATATACAAGAATTATCGTACATATACATCTAAAGCTATATTTGAATATGGTGTGATATTCAACGGCAGATGACATATTGACCGAGGTGATACCTATACTTTAATCATAGGCTTTAACAATGTACAATGTAAATCATGGATTTAGATAATATGTTCTTTTATGATTGATTCAACCATATCTAATTTATCATATTTCCATAATTGTATGCCTGTACTTTATTAGGGACAGGTTATATGTTTAAGTGAAGACGGAAATGAAGCTTTAATAACCCGGCTCACTGGACCATATAACGTGTTAGACATCTTAATAACGATACAGTATGGAAGACCAACATTATTTGAGAAAAACTAACATAACTTCATAAATTGACAGCAGCCGTGTATATAGATTATAAAAATATCACGATTATCCAACGACAAGTGAGGTTACATATTTGAAAGTTTATATTTTCTTCTTGTTTAAGTATGCGCTCCCATATCTACGAAAAACAAAGGGCTCAATTGTTAACATATCAAGTATCAGTGCCAATGCTGCATTCAAGAACTCAACAACTTACTGCGCTACAAAAGTAAGTTTTCACTTAAGTGGATTGGTCTACATAGTGCGCAATTTTTATAAGTATTTCAGATATTGATATAAACAATAAAAATGTATTATTCGGATATTCCGTTGAACTATTTCTTTTCCAAACATTTCGTTAAAGTCCTAAGTTATTTAGTATGAACATTTATTAGTCTATGATGAAAAGTAATTGTTTGTTCCAGATATACTGTATAGATATGTAATGTTGGATCATGTATCTCACACTTTCCAAAAACATACATGTATAATGCTTTGGTGGTTTGTTGTTATTTATAATACTAAAAACTTTCAAAATAATTATTTATGGTATAGCAGATCTTCCATTTTGGACCAATTCACTTTAAATAACATATTGATAATTGCATATAACAAATTACACATTTCTGTGAAACGATATTCAATTCATTATTACAAATACAGTGTTCCGTTTTGACAATCGTGTTTTTTTTTATTTTGTCCTGGCCGGCGATGCACGAGCGTGCAATAGTAAAAACGTGATGGTTCGACGACACGATGATGAAAACACGATGGTACGTGGGGGAAATAGCGATGTCGCAATGGTACGGTGGTAGAAACGCGATGTTATATCGAGTTTTTACCATCGTACCATCGCGTCATCACCATCATACAATCGCGTTTGCACCATAATGAAATCGCGGAACACCGTATCGGAACTAAGCCAGCTTAGTGATTTGTTAAAGCAATGCTAAAACAAGCTTAATGTTCTTTTTCATATGTTACCATTTTTTTCTACATTTTGTAAATAATACTCGTATATGTATATTAGTTCAATAAAACTATATAATGATTAACGTATTTGAGTTTTCTTATATTTGAGTTTTCTAAATTAAAGGGTGGCGTCAAATCACTGACAAAAGCACTGGCTATTGACGAGGCCAAGTATGGAGTGAGGGTGAACTCGTAAGTTATGAATTCTTCATTACGAAAAAAAAATGAATGCATTCATTCACTGTAAAGAAATATATTCCCTACGTTGATGGTCCAAATAATTCTTTTGTAAGATCTTATTTATTTTGCACTTTTTTCATAAAATGACGATATCGAAGGAAAGGTCAATAAATATGACGTCAAAATAATATATGAAATACACAACGGGTTGAGGCTAAAATAATACTCGTGACACTGACTTCATGTACCTACCATGTAATATAACTACAACAAATAGTTCATGCATCCAGACTTTAGTATCATTTGATGTTCATGTAAAGTAAAATAGTTCATTTGAATTAAAGCAGCAAAATATTTCAAGAAAATTATACTCGAGAAAAATGGACTATGATTTGAAGAAAAGTGAAACAGATTTAAGATTCAGGTAATAATGTACATGTGGTGTGGGATACCATATTTCTACTGCGTTACGAACGTAGTAAGCGCTATTTTTGCTTATTTTGACCTGTTTTGGTAATTAATTGGGTTGTTCTTTACAATGTGTAAATTATTGTCTTTGCTCACTTAACAATATCCACTTTTAAATACATTTTAAAAATTGTCATGAAAATGCTTAAATTCTGAATTGTAATGCGTACTTTCATTCTAGTATTGCTCCAGGAGCTATAGAAACACCGTTACTACGCGAGGTTTGGCCGAAGGAGACTATTGCAACGCTGGAAAGTTGTCATGTAAGTTGAATGCATTTGTGCAGATATATAGATATAAGAGTTTAAGATAACATATCTGATTTATGCTACAAATCAGATTTCCTCATGCAAACATGTTGTTTTATGTAACACTATTACCAAACTGATTTCATTATTTTTTTTGTTTTCGTGTGCAGTACAACTTAAAATAACGCCATATCAGACTCGTTGCCGTGTTTTCCACCTTCCGTAGACAATACTTCATGTCGGTTTCCGGTAACATTCTCATGTCAAATAAAACCGTCAACGCATTTAGCTTTTGTTTTGTCGTTTTGAAATTTTAATTATGAGTTATACAAAAGTTAAAATTCAGCTTAATATCTTATTAAAAATTGTAGTGTTTCCTCTTTTTAAATTCCGACATTTTTAACTTTCAAGACTGAACATCTATAAGTATGTAAACATTAAAACAGTTCACGGACTGATAAGGCCCGATACATCAAGCAATCATTTTATAAATGATAAGTAATGAGTACATCACGAGATACGCTTCCATCTTTATTGTCTAAAATGTTTGGAAAAACAATCCTGCAAAATACAAAAATCATCATCGTCTTTTCAGTACTTTGATTACGTATGCCTTCCCGCCAAAACATTCTAACCTCGGTCAATATCGTAGCATGTCGGTTATTTCCGGACGTTATTCTTTCAAAATCTTGGGTCTTAGATTATTTATAAACACTCATCCTTTATCTGTATATTCCGGTTATAAACAGTCAGAAATATTGAATATCTAAGATCGTGAAAAGTAACGTTCCGGAAATTACGGATTTATTACGATACTTACCGATGTTAGAAATTTTTTTTGGCGGGAAAACATTGCAGTAAGGCTACTTTATTGCAACGCTATTTCCAATCATTTATTTCAGACTATTCAAAGAATAGGTAAACCACGAGAGGTTGGACTTGCTTCCCTTTTCTTGGCTGTTGATGCCACGTTTACAACGGGAGAGGAGCTGATGTGTACAGGGGGATGTGAACTAGGATACGGAAATAAAAACACGGGACTTCCCTGTTGATTGATGGTGTGACATCTTCACTTACCAAGGAATCATGAAATCAGTAATGTTGCTGTCAGAAACATGAGCAATCAGACTGACTATAGACCTTCTGTCAGGCGCAGATACATATTGATCCCCCGACATAAAAAAACTGAACAAAATATTTATCATACAAAGAGAATTGCCTATACAAATATATATTCAAGTATTCGGTGTGTAAGTTATATATGGAGTTTGGTTATTTGTACACGGTTTTACTCTTCAATTAATCAATACTTCTTTCAATGGAGACTGGTAATTATATCTTATTGTAATTTGGTGACATTTTCATAATTTTGTTTTACGGATTTGATACTTTGGCAAAAGATCACATAACTAAACTAAAATTTGAATTATTCTGATATGACTTTGACCTTTCTCAAGGTCAAATTATTGAAATTTGCTCAAATTGTCATAACTTTGTTATTTTATTCATACTTGGACAAAAGAACACATATGACAAAATCAGCATGAAGTCTTCGTAAATGACTTTGACCTTTAATTTACCTTGACCTTCAATGTTCAATTAATTATGGAAATTTAATTAAATTTCATAGGTTTATAATCTTTTTAAGGATTTGTTTTATACTTTAACCAAAGAACAGATATGACTAAACTGTCATGTTGAATTATTCTGAAATGACATTGACGTTTAATTTATCTTGACCTTCAACGTCATATTATTGAAATTAGCTTAAATTGCCATTAGTTTATTACTTATTTACAGATTTGATTTATACTTGAACAAAAGAAGACATATGACAAACCGACGTGTTAAATAATTCTGATATGACCTTGTCTTTTTATTGACATTAAGCGTCAAGGTTAAATTATTGAAATTGCATTAAGTTGGCATAACTTTGTTATTCATTTATGGATTTTGTTTATTCTTGGATAAAAGTACATTTATGACAAAACTGACAATGATGATTAATTCAAATGTGACCTTGACCTTTGAATGATTTTGACCGTCAATGTCAAAAATGAAATTAGAATTGCATGTATAATTTATAAAAAAACGTTTTTATTTTCTTCCTTGGAGTATTCTTTTACTGCAATATTCTTTCTTCAATATGTTTAAGCTTAGAAGTCGAGGCCCCTGCCTGTTTTTGTTCATCAGATTTTACATTTTTAAGTGAGCTTGTTCGTTATTGTCCATCTATGTAGAAAATAAACAATAAAGTAATCCCCATGGATAAAGGTCAGTTTAAAAAAAATGATAATAATAATGATAAAAATAATAAATAATAATAATAATAATAATCATCATAATAATAATAATAATAATAATAATAATAATAATAATAATAATGAATAAAAGAAATGATTATATAAATTTTAATCGCATCATCGAATTTTTTTCTTCTTCTTCTTCTTCTTATAATTATTATTATTATTATATATATTTATATATATATATATATATATATATATATATATATATATATATATATATATATATATATATATATATATATATATATATATAAAATTCGTTATCTCTTATTAAAAGAAAACCAAATGGATAACTGTCGAATCATTTGAAAATGAATCAATTGAGGAAAATCCAATTGGATTCTTTTCCAAAAACTTTTAATGGAAAAAAAATCCAGTTGGAATTTTTTCCAACAAAAATAATTGGATTTACATTTTTTCAAAACACCTTATTGGTAATTCAGCGTGTGCAATTATGTAAATTTCTATCGGAAATTATCATTTCCCTTTAATTATCATCGATTTATACTTATTAAAATTATTCTGTAAAAATCCTGTTGGAATATTTTCCAGCTTTAAAAGTGGGTGGGATTTTTTATTTATTTAAGCGAATAAGTTCTTCAAAACTAGTCAGAAAGTCATTATAGGATGTATTAATGGTGATTTTTATAGTTTAAGGGTTGATGGAAAAATTGAAATTCCCGTTGGGGTAAATAAAAATATTGGAAAAAAAATCAAAATGGAGTATAAATAAATTCCGCCCGGACAGCATAATTCCGGGCGTAATACATGAAATTCCGGCCGGACAAATTTTTTAAAATACAATTTTTTGATAAGATTTTTTTTAAATAAAGCTTTAAATGAAGTCAATTATTTATAATTAACCTTAAATCTATCAGATGAAATGATTTTTAAGTGTTTAGGGCAAGTATATATGGTAGGTGAAGTTTGCCATTTTCCCGGTAGTGCAAAAATTTTCCAGTGGCTGTTATTTATGACAAAACTGACAATGATGATTAATTCAAATATGACTTTGACCTTTGAATGATTTTGACCGCCAATGTCAAAAATGAAATTCGAATTACATGAATAATTTATTCAAAACCGTTTGCTTTCTTGAAGTATTCTTTTACTGCAATATTCTTTCTTCAATATGTTTAAACTTAGAAATCGAGGCCCCTGCCTGTTTTTGTTCATCAGATTTTACATTTTTAAGTGAGCTTGTTCGTTATTGTCCATCTATCTAAAAATTAACAATAAAGTAATCCCCATGGAAAAAGGTCAGTTTAAACAGGTCGCCAGTTTTTGCGATGACGGTTGAAAGAATACATTTTCTAGAAAGAGTGAGACTAAAAAAATAATGGGAGTACCACACTAAAAACCGTATTCAGTATATACAAGGTCAAGCGCTTGAGTAATTAAATGCTAAAAGTTCGCCCTTTTCGGCAGCCGAAATGTACTATGTTAAAACTTCTAAATAATGCACGCTTTGCGGTAACGCAAGTACCTGCAAGATAGTGATGGTTTTGAAAACTTTCGCCGGAAGTACTGCAAATTTGGATAATAGACCAATCGCAAGTTTTCGAATTACAAGATAAGGATAAAAGCCGAGGAATTGTGATTGAAAACGGATGCGTAGACTGGTCTCCTGTGCACTTCTATGGGAACCATAATAGGAAATGGAACCAGAATAAACGGAAGCAGTGTATAAAATACCGAATTGCACTTTAAAAACGGAAAATGTAAAAAAATATAACGATATTTTTATAACCGATTTCCCCGTTCAAAGGCTTTGCCTATTTTCATAATAATAATAATAATAATAATAATAATAATAATAATAATAATAATAATAAAGCAAGAAAGAAAACCTGCTTAATAAAAGAAATATTCTCAAATACAACAGGGAAGACAAAAACATCACTCAATATGACTGACAATTTTATTTCATTTCAAGGCAATATGATAGGTGATTGCAAGAAAAGACTATGATAATTCAAGATAAAGTAGTCAAAATCAAAATATCATTGTGAACAAATTATATGCTTAAAAGGTCTTTCTTTCATAGGTTATTAAAATTTTAATATAATCAACTATTAATATGTTTTGGTGTCAAAAATAGGAAACAGTCACACAAGTATATTAGTACGTTGTGGTTTGTATCAGCACTTTTATCGCCTTTGCTTGAATGTATTATTTTGTAGAAAAAAAACCCTACAGTTTATTATCAAGAATATACTTTTTCTGACGGATATTTAAACGGAGCGAATTGGAAGAATAAAGATGCTGAATGACTTGATGAGGCGGTTTGGAGTTTTGATGCGTAGTAATATACAACGAAGGCCTGAGTGGTTATTTTTTCGCATTAAAGCGGAAGTGAAAATGCTTTTTTTTTTATTAAATATTGTTGCTTTAAAAGGGTTTGTAAACTATATAATCGAGGGAGAAAACATAACAGCCGCATATACAAGTAGTCCCTAACCAGTGTTTATTAGAAGTTTAAACCGTTTTTTCTTCTTTGTCTATAGTTCAAAATCACGAGGAGTGTTAGAATTTGGAACATAATAATTCCTTACAAAACTGTTACATATACGAGCTTTTTGTAGGTGAATAACCAAGTTCGCAACAAAATTTAATAATTGCGCGCTGTTCTGGATACTGATGTGACGCCATTGTCAAAACACTAGCGGAGACGATGTCCGGCTTGTTGTTTGATAACGGAAAGCGTTATGACATTGAAACTTTGATAAAAAGACGTTAATGACGTCATTTCAAACTGACGTTAACTGGCGCCAAAATGCGCAGTCCTAATTATGTTCAAAATCAGCTATAAAATAGCAATTTATGAATGAAAAATGACTTCCCCCATAAAAGAACGGAACAAATCTGAAGAATAATATTTTAATTTTCAACAGAATCAGTTTGATCTAAATTACGCTTGGTACAGACTTAATGCAAAAATCATAATTAATACCTATGTTACTATATATAGTAACAAAATCTAGGGTATTTCAGGGCCATTATGGCAAGGTGTAGGTCATTATGCAATTTTGGCCGCCTTGCTACTCGGCATTATTTTTCCATAATGGGCGAGTGAATGACCGCACGTGCAGAATGACGTAATCAACTTTCAGTGACTTTCAAGATGGCTGCTGACATTGAATGAACCGTAGTCACTTGCACACATTTTTTTAAAGTTTAAATTACATAATTAATCACAATCAGCAAAGCTTATCATTGAAGATTTATAAACTCGAGACAATACTGGACCCTCAGAAATTCCAAAAACGATTTTAAATTGACTGTACGGAAGGTCGGATCGTTCGCATTTAGACCTAGATAGTCAAACACACAACTTTATAAAAAAAAACTGGCACTAGATCCAAAACGTATTCTCACAAAAGATGTGAAGAGTAGGATTCTGTATTTACCGATAAAAACAACAATAAAACAACATTTTCTTATATTTATTTTGTGTTGTCTTGTTTTCTAAGTTAATCGGAGTGTTAAACTGTACAGTATGACAGATACTCAGAATTTGTTTACATTGACAACTGTCCGTTTCTTAGAAAGGGCGACAACCAAGATTAGCGGCGATGTCGAAACGCCGTATTTCGGACATAGTTATTAAAGACATTAATACTCGAGTTCATAATGTCCTTCGGGCCTGCGGCCCTCAGACCATTATGCACATCTTCGGGACATTACTGCATAATGGCGAGCAGCAACCAAGTATTAACCTCTAAATATTAAATTTGTTAGAGAGTAAGTCCGGTTAAATCTGGATCACCCCTCGTACCATTTTTGTTGAGCACAACCACAGTCCTCCATTTTCAACTGAAAATATGAAAAAAAGCAGACGATAAAACTCATTTCCTCTATATAGAATTCATTCATAGATCAGTCTCACTTCTTCTACACCCCTACTTAACAGTGGCTCTTTCATGCACGCATACAGTAAATAACGAAACATTTCTGTCTTAAGTTTGGGAACCGTTTAATTCAATCCATGACAGACTAGACAGACTATAATGGGGCTGATAAAATTAATGATTAATAAACTTAAAAACAAACTAACTTATACAATATAAATGTAGATTACAAATGTTCATACCTAATTCATCGACATATCCTCTACCAATGCCGTCACACCCTCAGGTAACTATTGCAACTTTCTGATCAAATTTTAAACAAGCTTTTGAGACCATCTTGACCGTAATAAATAAGTCATAATTTTACCTTTATTATGGAACGCCAAGTTTATATCAATTAAATGCAGTTAACTATCTTTCCATTTCACACATTCGCATATTATTAAAGAGTACAGATGCTTTACAATTGAGTACAGCTTTGTTATGATTTGCGCTGGAGTTTATTGAATTTCTATGTGCCGAGTTGTGCCATGTTGTATTTTCGCTCACTTTGTCGTCACTTTGCCATATTTTCGTGTTTTCACCTGGCGCCCAGCGGAGCGAAAATACGACATGGCACAAATCAGCCACTATAAACTACAGCTTAGTAGATTTAAATAATTGGAGGAAAGTTAAACTTTTAAGAGTTTTCAATGCAGTTCACACATGCACAATTATATACCTTATGTTAAAATTGGTAGATGAAGTAAGTAATGTTAAATGTAGACAACTAGCTGGGAATGGAAACATTTCTTTTTTTTGTTTGGTTATTATTTCATATTTAAACTGGTCATTAAACACGTTTTAAAAAAACACATAGATTTATATCGTTATTTGTAGTATAGAAACAAATGAAAGGAAAACATTCTGGTTTTGTTATAAAAATCGAGAAAATAATAGCGTAAAAGCACCTATCAAAGCCTTGTTGTCTAACTTATTTATTCTTTCTTAATTGATCCGTTTTAAGATTTTAGCGTACTTAATCTTAAAGTGACTCCACTAAAGGTTTTTTTTGACATGATGAGACTGAAATTTTTTTCTATATAAATGTGCCATTTGATGTAGGGCTAGACCACTAATCTTTGTACCGCCTCCGTGGTCGAGGGGTTAGAGCCGATGACTTTTAATCCAGTTACCTCTCTGGCGTGGGTTCGATCCCCTGGAGATGCTTTGGTAGTTTAGCACGGATGAAGGTAGTCTAGTACTGGTGTAACTCTCCAGGAACGATTGGTTAGGAAACTACTCGCCTATATGACTGAAATACTGTTGGGAAAAGGCGTAAAACATGTAAAATGAAACAAACAAACAAACTAATCTTTGTGCAAAATTTCAGATCATTCGCATCCTTTATTTTTCCAGAATAATTATTCAAAATGTAAAAAGATGACCCAAAATGAAAAGCGTTTAAACACCTTTCATTCAAATCGGGCTAAGAAAAGCATAAAAATACGATTTTCAATTTAGCTCATTTATGTAAAAAATTCAAATGTTATGTTTCTAGGCTTTTAAACCTCAGTGTAGTCCCTTTAAAAACAAAAAACCAGACTTGTACATAAATGTGGTAATATACCATGCGAAGTTCGGTTCATAAGGTCGCCGTCTAGATATGAATTTTGATTTACCCAGACGAGTGTCTAATGTTTAAATCATTTAGCGTGAAACTGGCGTGTGTAGAAATATATAGATATTATAAATATTATAGGATAATTGAGGACTTGCTGCATAAAGTACGTTATTATTATAATAATTCCTGAAAAAAAGACATGACTATATTTTTGCAATTTTTTAACAATGTGGCAGAATTAAATTAATCATATTAAAATAGCTGGGAGTGGAAACATTTCTTTCTTTGTTTGGTTATTATTGCATATTTAAAATGGTCATTAAACACATTAAAAAAACACATAGACTTATATCGTTATCGAATATTTGAGTTTTATTATAAAAATGGTGAAAATAATAGCGTAAACGCACTTATCAAACACCTTGTTCTCTAACTAATTTAATATTTCTTTTAAGATTTTAGCGTACTTAATCTTAAAGGGACTCCACTAAAGGTTTTTTTTTTAAATGATGGGACTGAAATTTTGTTTCTATTTAAATGTACCAATTTGGTGAAGGGTTAGACCACTAATCTTTGTGCAAAATTTCAGATCATTCGCACACTTCATTTTTCCAGAATAATTATTCAAAATGTAAAAAAAATGCGTTTAAACACTCAAATCAGGCTAAGAAAAGCATAAACATACGATTTTCAATTTATTTCAAAGTATATTTCTTAACTATCTTTGCATATATTTCTGTTTTAAGTACTCTAGCTCATTTATGTAAAAAATCATATATTATATTTCTAAGCGTTTAAACCTCAGTGGAGTCCCTTTTAAAAACAAATATTTATTGCGGGGGAACTAGACTTGTAGATAAACCATGCGATTTCGGGTCATAAGGGTATCGTCTAGATATGAATTTTACTTTACCCAGTGTCTAATGGTTAAATGATTTAGCGTGAAACTGACGTGTGTAGAAATATATAGATTTTATAAACATTATAGGATAATTGAGGACTTGCTGCATAAAGTAAGTTATTATTATATTCGTTATTATTATAATAATTCCTGAAAAAAACATGATTATATTTTTGCAATTTTTGAACAATGTGGCGGAATAAGCAATACTTATATCTTTAAAATATCATATTTTGTAAAGGTAGAGAACAATTTAGAATAAACCAGTGACTTGTTGTGAATTTAATCAATTTTTAAGTGTAGCAAATATCTATCAGGTAAAGAAAATGTAATCATTTTTGCTGGTGGTATAAACTCGTAAAACATGTTAACAGATACATATCGCTAACCATTTCCATCATAATCAATGATGATGAATACGTGTAACCAGTGAGGTGTTTCAAATACGAATTTAAACTAAATATAATTCATGACATTGAATCTTGTTTTGTTCGTTTTTGTTTTGATATCGTGAAATAGGCTAGGTGCAAAGTGTGACGTCATTTCTGCAAAGATTTCATAAAGACAACATTATTTTGTCTTTATGCATCAGCCATCCAATTACATATATTTCACATATCTGTATAAATTGGCAGAGACAATTTGTGATATGGCAGAGGCATTTTGTGATATTCTGGTTTTTATACTACGATTAACCACATTTGCTGTTAATCTCGTTGACCGGTCTACCTAAATGGCTGTTGTTAATCTCGGCGGCCGGTCCACCTAAATGGCTTTTGTTTATCTCTGCGGCCGGTCCACCTTAATTAATAGCTGTTGCTTATCTCGACGGCAGATAAACCAAAATGGCTGTTGTAAATCTCGGCGGCCGGTCCACCTAAATGCCTGTAGTTAATCTCGGCGGCCGGTCAACCTAAATGCCTGCGGCCGGTCCACCTAAATGGCTGTTGTTATCTAAGCGGCCGGTCCACCTAAATTGCTGTTGTTATCTCGGCGACAGGTCCACCTAAATTGCTGTTGTTAATCTCGGCGGCCGATCCACCTAAACGACTGTTTTTATTCTCGGCGGCAGGTCCACTTAAATAGCTGTTGTTAATCATGGCGGTCGGTCCACTTAAACGACTGTTTTTAATCTCAGCGGTCGGTCCACCTAAATGGCTGTCGATAATCTCGGTGGCCAATCCACCTAAACAGCTGTTTTTAATTTCAGCGGCCGGTCCACCTAAATGGCTGTCGTTAATCTCGGCGGCCGGTCCACCACAAAGGCTGTTTTTAATTTCGGCGGCAGGTCCACCTAAATGGCTGTCGTTAATTTCGGCGGCCGGTCCACCTAAATGGCTGTTGTAATAATCTCGGCGGCTGGGCAACCTAAATGGCTATTGTTAATCTCGGCGGCTGGGCAACGTAGATGGCTGTTGCTTATCTCTACAACCAGGTTACCTAAATGGTTGTTTTTAATCTCGGCGGTCGTATGGTATATGTCCTATATAATTATGTATTTTTGAGTGAAAACACCAGCATAAAATACTTTAGGTTGATCAAAATACTTTTAAATTTAGTGGCATTTAAATACATTGCGATATTGATGAAGAAAGAAGGGAGAAGTCCAAGTCAATAACATCTCAAACAATGCTTCCTTCAAATAGGACCAGGTACACACCGTACATATAGCGTGTTAAATTTAATTTCCAAAACGTGTAATTAAAAGATACTCGGCAGTGCGTTTTACGGTTGCCTTTAATTTCCGAGTGTTATTTTAACTATGCTAAACTAATATCGTAGAACACTGATTGCGTGTCCGGCAAGCACCGGGAACAGGATGGCAAATAGCCCGTATTTACCGGAAGTCACAATGAAAGCAAACAGTTTACGACCGAAAAACTTGTGAGAATAGCTAGAGTTATATCTGAAGTTTTGATAATAGAAAAGAAACTACTACAAAATTATTATAATTACAGCATGGCAAATACAGCAAACCAACCAGCTTTACGTTTTAAAGACAAGGTTGCCATAGTAACTGGTGGAGTACAAGGGATAGGTCGAGGCTGTGTTGATGTGTTTGGTAAATGATAGTTTATGTATTTAGATATACAGTAAAAACCCTCAATTAAGACCACCATCGGGACTTGACCAAAGTTGTCTTAATTGCGGAGTGGTCTTAATTGTGAGTATTCTTATTGCTTACACACTTTATGACCATGGTCTATTTTAGTCATGTTGTATGAACAAACGTTATATATCTTAACCTGCAAATACAATATTAAAGTATGTTATAATGTTACATCTGATAAGAAGCAAACATATTTCTGAAGAATTTAATATCATATTCTATTTGATCTGATTTCAATATTAGTTATTATATGATGTTCATAATACATCCATCAAATAAGAAATATCAATGTGCTTAAAGCAACATTAAACTTCTCTAAAATTTACTTTCTCACCTTATTTAATAATAAAAGGTGTTTTTAACACCTTGTGAAATGAAGTGTCATGCCTTTAAGCAGATAATAACAACAACTGAAGATCTAGGTGATGTTGACTTTAAATCGGTGGTCTCAATAGTGGGGTCAAATAAAGAACAAAATAAAGAATTGGGACTGAATCTGGTGGTCTTAAAAGTGGATAAGCGAGGTTGTCTTAATTCTGGATCATGTAACCATTGACATAAAGAACAGAAAATTCCGTTCTTATAAAAATTGGTCTTAATAGCGGAATAGTCTAAATTCTGGTGTGGTCTGAAGTATTGATTCCACTGTAGTAAATACCTCTCTTAAGTAAGATAAGCACATTCTATACAAAAAAGCTCTTCAGATTAGTTACCTCACCTCCCTTCATGTCGTTTTTCAATTATTATTGACCAAAATCAAAATCTCATCTGTAAAATCAGCATGTGATAAAAACTTTAATGGAACGTCTTTTTTGCGGACCCCTGATTATTTGTTCTTTAGTTCATGCACCGAACCTTCCACTTATTTTTATATGATGATAGATTTTGCTGACAGTATATCGCATGCTCTGCTTTCTCGGCCACTGACTCCTCTGTTGGCTTTTCTTGTGGGAAGACTTGAAAGAAATGGACTTAAATTCGGGAACATTCATAAGCTTACTGCCAGCAGTTCCATTAAACTGTCGGTAAATCAACATATATACAATAAAATCATACATAATACGACAAATGTTACCACTGCTCGTGTCAAGATAGCATATTATCGACAAATTACGGCTTTCCTATTTCAAACTTGTATGGATGCAACCAATCTTGTCATATTCAAGTTTGAATATATATTCTTATGTCATTTTCAATCAAAGACTGGCAAATATTTGACAATTTTGTCACTTTAACTTCAGGCAAAAATTGTCACAATCCGCTTATTTGACGAGCTTTTTCTTCTTACAGTTTCAAAATAAAAAGCGTTCGTTTTCGTCCATTTGCAGCACTGGTACTTGAACTACTTAAGAGGAGTTATGTTGGTCTTTGTCACACCAGCGTTTACTAATTCTTTCAAACATCCAGAAAGTGACGATGATATGCCGAGAATTCAAAATCTTTGATAATTTAAGATGGACCAAATGTACTGTGGAATAAGTCTGAATCCAAAATATTTTTACGCTGTATTCTATCATTTTGTACATTTATGTTACTCTTACACAATTTCGTTTACATGTATTTTCATAGGGTGAAATTTAAAAGAAAAAAAAAACAACATTACTTATTATTGCATTCAACATTTCAGTTGAACAAGGCGGAAAAGTAGCAGTATTTGACATCAATGGTAACTATTTTCTTTATTTTTTATTCTTTTTATAAGAAACCAAGTTGACGTAAGTTAACAAACTTGACGTAAGTAAAGTCAGTAATTGACCATGTCAAATACACGTTCGTTTGTTTGATTGGGTTTTACGTCACACCGACACAGTATAGGTCATATGGCGACGTTCCAGCTTTACTGGTGGGGGAAGACATCAGGTGCCCTTCCGCGCATTATTTCAGGCACGAACGGGCACCTGAGTGGAACCATTGACTTTCCGTAAGCAAGCTGGATAGCTTCCTCAAACGAAAGAATCCAAAGTCCCTGTCGGGATTCGAACCCACAGCGGAGAAGGGCAAGTGGTTTGAAGTTAACAACCTTAACCACTTGGCCACGGACGTCCCCAAATACACGTAGTTAACCAAAGCACATATGTGTATACAAATTTGTAAAAATTATAGTTGAAGATGGATAGAAATGTACTTAGATTTCATAACACTCTCTATTCTCTATAAAGATGATGTCGGACAAGCCATGAAGTCTGATGGACCGGGGGAAATCATGTACTTTCACTGTGACATGAGAAAAGAAGAAGAAGTTAAGGTACATATAGTGTCATTTAGCCTTTAGTCGCTCTAATGGGTCAATAACCCATTTTAGAATAATTTGCTACATATAAATATATTTTAACTTTTGCAATATTAGATGAATCTGTACAGTTGATATTTCTGGCGCTTTTTAATTAATATTTCGATCGGGCTGTCACCGTGATTATATTACTGCGCATCTTAGCGGTGCATAAGAGGGTTAATTTCATTAATATCTGCAGAAGTATACCAAAACAAATTTAAAGCAGAAGTATATGAAAACAGATTAAATGCCCGAGAACGCAGGACAAGAAATTATATTTAATTATTTCGGGGGCTTCTACAGATGTTAATGCACGAGAAAGATGCATTACCGTTATTCTTGCAAAAAAGCGATTGATACTGTAATTCTGCGTTTTGAAACCGGTTTCGTTAACCTTTTCACCTGTTAGTGCAATTTTACTTGAAAGTGGAACTATTAGTCCAGACATGAATACCAGACCGTCATTGCAGTTAAAACCGTCGAGAGCTCTTTCTTTCTTTCGTTCTTTCTTTCTTTCTTTGCATAAATAAATAAATAAAAAATAAATAAATAGATAAATAAATAGTTAACAGTACTTGCCAAAAAGCCAACCACTGATCTTTTTTTAAAAAAAAAACTTTGTTCTTTTACTGTAATTGTTGGACTGTTTTTTTTATATTTTGCACACAATGAAAAATCTTTCCACTTAATTCTAACTTTAAAAAATACTTTGACAAAATACGCTCTCCATAAGTTCTACTCAGTTTGACATTGTGTTTTACAGTATCAGTCAGTATTTTGTTATATATTATTCTTAGTCTTTTGTCTTTGCTTTTTTCTCTCGTTATGCTTTTTATACAGGTAATAGGTATATGTGTTAGGTTATTTAAAATAGTTTTTAATGTTTTATTTGGCTCATTGATACTTTTATTGTTTTTGGTCTTTAGAATTGCGTGGAAGAAACCGTGAAGAAACTGGGTAAAATAGACTGTCTTGTAAACAATGTTGGTTGCTGTAAGTACAAGAAAATATTAATTAACACTCACCACGCTAATTATGTTAAATGGACTCGTCCATCTTTTATCCTGGACAAGATAATTCATTATCTTTCGGGTAAATTGAAAAAAAATATCACACTTGATATGTTAAATGGACTCGTCCATCTTTTATCATGGACAAGATCATCCATTATCTTTCGGGGGGAAATTTGAAAAAATTGTATTGACTTGAATAACGTACAGTACAGATCTGCTGACCATGATCAGATGACCCGGATGTGTCGACTGATCTTGTTCGGCACTGTTCGTTTGGATAGAATTAGCTACAGCTAATGCATATCTCTTTTATGGCCATGATGTTTTTCAGTATGAAAGTCGGACGGGTGTCATTTAGTGTGTGGTCAACAAGCCTGAAAAACATTTAGTTTGAAATTCTTGCATAGATCAAATTATGCTCTTTAAATGGAAAATTCTGCAAAGACGATAAAGGTAGATGTACTGAATTAAACATATTCTGTGTTAGAAAATATTGATAATTGCTAGTATTTGCTACATAGTCTCTTTGTAAATATGAAATAAACATATTTTGACTTCACACAGAGAAGAAATGTTATGTTAAAAATTCTACACACACAGGCAGATTTTTTACTGTAATAGGGAACGCAGTTTTCACTACATAGTTTATTCATTCTTTTATTTAAATTAGACATGATCGGTATGAATTTCAAAGATTTCAATTAAAGATTGGATTAAAATATTTTACGCAAGGATGAACATGGTATATCTTTAAATTGAATATTGATTTTTTGCTCGATATTTGGCCTTGGTTGAATGCAAAACGTTGCAATACAAATTATAAGTACAGACTATGCAAATTTCTAATAAATATGTCCTTAAAGTTAAAAAAAATCTCAGTTGCACGTTAATTTCCGCCTTCTTTAATTCATCATCGCAATTCTCGCCGCACAAAAAATGCTGCTAATGTAAAAACCTAACAAAACGTACTTAAAGTGCATTTCATGTAAAATGCAAACCGGCCGGAAAATTAGGACAACATTTCAAATGCAGTGTGCTTAAAGAGACGCGACTGAGGTCTTTTTTTGCGACAGGACGTGACTGAAAATATTTTTCCGAGTTTTGTGTACCATTTGAGACATGCAAAATGATAAAAAAAGTGCTTTTCATTCAATCAAGCTAAAATCGCATCAAAAAGAAATTCTGAGTCAATTACTTTATTTTTTCAATTTTAAATTTTATGCGCATGACTTAATCTATGTAGGAATGTCAAATTTTGTGTTTCAGGCTTTTTTGACCTCAGTGGAGCTTCTTTAAAATATCGTATTAATACACAAAATAGTTTGTGTTGTTCAACCGGATATGCAAAAGAAAAAGTTCAGTCGTATGCCGTATAGAAAATCTGTTTTGCCTAAAGTATTTAGTTGATCATAATCATTCCATTGTGGGCGTGGTTTAGTTTCCGAATATGAATTTATAAGGCCCATTTTCCCTCCCTTCTGAGTGCTCCATATCATTCCATACTGGGCGGGATTAAGTTTCCGAATATGAATAAGGTCCATTTTCCCTCCCTTCTGAGTGCTCCATTTATTTGCAAAAAAAACAACAAAAAACAAAACAACTTCTCACACGCTTTAATTTAGATTTGATCGAATGACTACACTTCATTTTCCATTATTTTGCCTATTTCGAATCAGGGCCCTTCCTATTGTACCTTTCGTTGAATCTTTTTCGTGAGGATTTTTAGATAACTTTTCCGGTGGTCCAGTGTGGCTGTGTTGGTCGTACTAGCGGTCCTGTATGTTTTACATTTTATTCGACAAGACTATCGCTTGAATTTTTACGTTTTTTTATAAAGCAAAAGACTGCCCCCCTGACTCTAAAAATCCTTTTTGCCCGCCATTTTTGCAACCAGAGCATCGGATCGTCTCTTTAGCAACTTCCCCCGGCCACCCCCCCCCCCTGTCATCTGTTTTCTTGGTAGAAACATTTGAACAATTTCTTTTTTCATTACGGTTTAATTATATTCGGTATTTGAAATATATGTATATCTTTTCGACTTTTTATTATAAAAAATCGGAGCTTTTAAAGAATTGATTATTGAACTGAAAATTATGATAAAAACTGATTTGACCTGGCTTTTTTCAGATTATGGTCATAAAAGTATCGACGAGATATCTGTACAAAACTTCCGGGACCTATTGGAAGATAATTTAATTAGTAATTTTACTGCAAGCAAGGTAAGTTTCCATGTAGTTTCGGTAGTTTATCACGTGACCAAATTGGGTATTCGTGTAATCAAAATATGTTTTAATGGCGAGGCAAGTTTTCATTTAAGCAACGACCGGTTTTCATGTAAGCAACGTCAGATTTTTATATTATTGTGTAAGTAGCCACAGGTTATCATATAAGCAACGTCAGTCATATAAGCAAGGACGATAATCAAGAGAAGGTTTTAAAAGGTAAGCAGGGTAGGTTATCAAAATAGATGTATACATTTAGTCAGACATTTACAAATAAGCAATGACCATTATCAAATATACAAGAAGACATTTTACGTGTGGCATGTTATCGTACACATACATGTATTGCTATATTTGAATATGATGTGATATTCACTGGCAGATGACATATTAACCGATGTGATAGCTTTATTTTGATCATAGCCTTTAACTATGTAAAATGTAAATTATTGAATTAAATTATGTTTTCTTTTTGACTGATTCAATCATATTTAATGTATCATATTTTCCATAATTGTATGCCTGTACATTATTAATTGTAAAGGTGTCTGACTGGTTATATGGTAAAGTGAAGACGGAAGTGAAGCTTATATATACCGACTCACTAGACCATATAACGTGTTAGACATCCATGCAAGGATACAATATTGCAGAATAACAATATTTAAGATAAAAACTAACATTACTTCATAAAGTGACAGCAGCCGTAGATATAGATAACATAAACATCACGATTATCCAATGAAAAGCGAGGTTAGTATTATTTAAAGGTTTATATTGTCTTCTTTTTAAGTATGCTCTCCCACATCTACGAAAAACAAAGGGCTCAATTGTTAACATATCAAGTATCGGTGCCAATGCTGCATTCAAGAATTCAACAACTTACTGCGCTACAAAAGTAAGTTTTCATTAAAATGAATTGGTTTACAAGGGGTGCAATTTACATAATTGTTTCTAACATTGATACAAACAATGGAAATGTATTATTCGGATGTTCCTTTGAAATATTTCTTTTCCAGACATTTCGATAAAGTCCTAAGCTATTTAGTATGAACATTTATTAGTCTATGATGAAAAACAATACTTTGTTCTACCTGCTATATACTGTATAGATATGTAATATTGGATAATGTATCTCACACTTTTCAGCAACAAGTTTGTTGTTGTGTATAATACTAAATACTATCAATATAATTATTTATGGTATAACAGACCGTCCATTATGAACCAATTCATTTTAATAACATATTGATAATTACATATAACAAATAACACATTTCCTGAAACGATATTCAATTCATTATTACGAATACGGTGTTCCGTTTTGACAATCGTGTTTTTTTTTATTTCGTCCTGACCCGCGATGCACGAGGATACGATGGTGAAAACGCGATTGTACGATGATGAATACAAGATGGTACAATAATGAAATCACGATGGTACGATGGTGAAATTTCCATGGTACGATGGTGGAAACGCGATTTTATATCGTGTTTTCATCATCGTACCATCGCGTCATGAACATCGTACCATCGCGTCATCATCATCATACCATCGCATTTTCACCATAATTTTATCGATTTTTTCACAATCGCGGAACACCGTAACCGAACCAGGCCAGCCATGTTGAAACTTTTCTGATTTGTTAAAGCAATGCTAAAACAAGTTTTGTTTGTTAGAGAATACGTGTGCTAATTATTCTTGTTAATATGCAACCGTTGTTTGTTTTATTCTTCCAATGAAACTATATAATGACTAATGATTTGGAGTTCTTACAAAGGGTGGCGTCAAAGCACTGACAAAAGCACTGGCTATAGACGAGGCCAAGTATGGAGTTAGGGTGAACTCGTAAGTTATGAATTTCTAGATTTCAAGAAAAAATGAATCCATTAATTTACTGTAAAAAGCATATAAGCCTACTTTGATGGTCCAATTAATTCTTTTGTAAGATGTTATTTATTTTTCACTGTTTGAATAAACTAAAGATATCGAAGCAGAGCAAAGTTCAAATTATCTGGCGTTATGATCGATTGATAAAGAATACATGAAGAACAATTTAGTTTAAGAATCGAGGCAAACATATTACTTGTGACACTTAATTACTTCATATACCTACCATGTAATATATAACTACATGCACAATACATAATTCATGCATCCAAAGCATCCAGACTTAAGTATTATTCTCTATACATGTAAAGCAAAAGAGTTCATTGTGAATTGTGAGCAGGTGGGCTCCAGCCCTAACAGTAAGAGTGGACCTAACTGACCCCAGCCAGTAATAATTTGGCAGACCTAAATTGAATTTATATAAACAATGTAGAGAATAGCATATTTACCTATTGTGGATCAGGTTTTCATATATACATGTATACAAATAACTATTACAATCAGTGACTCTCATCTGCTCTCCTGGCTTACACAGTGCTCTAACTGTAAATGGTTAAATAACATTTGTGATAATAAAGGATAATAAATAGTGGTTGCCCAAATTACCAAATTATTAGATATATAGGCAGCCATCTGGATTACAATGTACATGTCAAATATACATGATTACTCAATTAATGACTTAATTCAAATAAAGCATTGCTCATTTGTGACTCAAAAGATACAAATCTGAAGCAAAACAAAACCAACTAACCTCAATCCTCAATGTCCAGGAATAACCAATAATAATTTAAATGGAGATAAATTTAAGTAATGAAATATATGATTCACCAACTTTTCACCAAAGAGTGATCACAATGTCACATGACAGCAATTATATTTAAAAACAGCGGGAAACCCAATGCTTGAATAATCCTTCAAGTTTACAATCAAAGGGAAGTAATATAAAACTCAGTCAAAATAAAATGCGAAAAGGTTAAAATAAACGAACAGACCAAAAAAAAAGAACTGGTTACAGAATTAAAGCTACATGCCTCAAAATGAGCCAAAATAGTTCAAGAAAATTAGACTCGAGAAAAAATGAACTTAGATTTTAAGAAAAGTTAGAGAAAACAAAAGATTTAAGATTCAAGTAATAATTTTCATGTTGTATGGGATTTAGGATTGATTTTGCAGTATTCATTACCATATCTCTAGTACCATACTAACGCAGTTAGGGCTGTTTCGTGCTACATTTGACCTATTTATGTAATTTACGTGGGTTGCAAGTGATGCTTACAATGTGTAAATTATTCTCTTCGCTCACTTAACAATATTCATTTTTAAAAAACATTTTACAAATTGTCATGAACATTAGCATGAATCTTGAGGCATGCTGCTTTAAAATCTGAAATGTTATGCGTTCTTTTATTCTAGTATTGCTCCAGGGACTATAGAAACCCCATTACTACTCAAGATTTTGCCGAAGGAGACTATTGCAAAGCTGGAAAGTTGTCATGTAAGTTGAATATTACGCTACAAATCAGATTTTCTTCCGCTAACATGATGTTTTATGTATCAATATTATCAAACTAGTTTCATAATTTTGCACTGGTGTGCAGTACAACTTTAAATAACACCATATCAGACTCGGTGCCGTGTTTTCCACCTTCTGTAGATCACGCTTCTTGTCGGTCTCCGGTTACATTCTCATGTCAAATAAAACCATCAACGCGTTAAGCTTTTGTTTTGTCGTTTTGAAATTTAATTCTTAATTCTATTTATTTGACAATTGTAAATTATAAGGAGGGCATCTGAATTATACAAGAGTTGAAATTCAGCTTATTCTTATGAATTAAAAATATTGATTAATCAGTGTTTCTAGCTATGTCTTCTAGTCATATTGTAATGCTTTGCCGCCAAAACATTCCGACCTCTGCCAATATCGCAGCAAATCCTTTATTTCCGGAACTTTTTTTTCAAAATCTTGGCTATTAGATTATTTACAATCAGTCATTCCTTATCGATATGTACTTAATTCAGGTTATAAAAAGGTTAAGATGTATTGAATACCGAAAATTGTGAAAAATAACGTTCGGAAAAGACTGATTAATTACTACATTGGCCGATGTTAGAATTTTTTGGCGGGAAAGAATTATAGTAAGCCTTAAACTCAACATTTCAAAACTGAACATCTATAGTCCTGTAAACATTAAGATAATTCACGGAATGATAAGGCCGGAAAAATCAAGCAAATCATTTAATTAATAATAACGAGTAACATCATGAGATACGCTTCCATCTTTATAATCTAAAGTCTATGAATCTGCGATATTGAAAAAACAATCCAGCAAAATACAAAAATCCTCATGGTCGTTTCAGTACTTTGATAACGTATGCTTTCCCGCCAAAAAATTCTAACCTCGGTCAATATCGTAGCAAATCGGTTATTTCCGGACTTTATTGATGTTTTTTTTTCCAAAATCTTGGGCATTAGATTATTTTTAGTCACCCATCCTTTATTGCTTTGTTCTAAATTCCGGTTATAAACAGTTAAAAATATTGAATACCTAAGATCGTGAAAAGTAACGTTCCGGAAATAACCGATTTATTTCGATACTGGCCGATGTTAGAATATTTTTTGGAGGGAAAACATTGCAGTAAGGCTACATTAATGCAACGTTATTTCCGATCTATTATTTCAGACTCTTCAAAGAATAGGTAAACCCCGAGAGATTGGACTTGCTTGCCTTTTCTTGGCTGTTGATGCGACGTTTACTACGGGAGAGGAGCTGATGTGTACAGGGGGGAGTGAAATTGGATACGGAAATAAAAACACGGGACTACCCTGTTGATTGATGTTGTGACATCTTCACTTATCAAGGAATCGTGAAATCAGTAATGTTGCTGTCAGAAACATGAGCAATCAGACTTACTTTAGACCTACTGACAAGTGCATGTACATGTACAAATTTATTTTTGATCCCCCTGACATAAAAAAAGAAAAGAAAAGAAAAAAAACCTGAACAAAATTTATATCATACAAGAAAATTGCATATACAAATATATATTCAAATATTTGGTGTGTAAGTTATATATGGAATTTGGTTTTATGGATACAGTTTAACTCTTATCAATTAATAAATACTTCTTTCAATGGAGACTCTGGTAATTATATCTTATTGAAATTTGCTGACATTTTCAAAACTTTGTTATATTTTTACGGATTTGATACTTTGGCAAAAGAACACATAACTTGACTAAAATTTGAATTATTCTGATATATGCATCATTCTGATATGTCCTTGACCTTTTGATTGACCTTGCTTCAAGGTCAAATTATTGAAATTTGCTTAAATTGTTAAACTTTGTTATTTTATTCATACTTGGATGAAAGAACACATATGACAAAATCAGCATGATGAAGTCTTCTGAAATGACCTTCAATGTTTAATTAATTATGAAAATTTGCTTAAATTTCATAGGTTTGTTATTTTTTAAGTATTTGTTTATACTTGGACAAAAGAACACATATGACTAAACTGTCATGTTGTATTATTCTGAAATGACATTGACCTTTAATTGATCTTGACCTTCAACGTCAAATTATTGAAATTACTTTGTAACATATTTACAAATTTGATTTATACTTGAACAAAAGAACACATATGACAAACCGACGTGTTAAATAATTCTGATATGACCTTGTCTTTTTATTGACATATAGCGTCAAGGTTAAATTATTGAAATTGCATTAAGTTGGCATAACTTTGTTATTTATTTATGGATTTTGTTTAATCTTGGATAAAAGTACATTTATGACAAAACTGACTATGATGATTAATTCAAATTGGACTTTGACCTTTGCATGATTTTTGACCATCAATGTCAAGATGAAATTCAAATTACATGTATAATTTGTTTAAGATCGTGTGTTTTCCTTGGAGTATTCTTTTACTGCAAAATTCTTTCTCCAATGTGTTTAAAATTAGAAGGCCTCCCCTGCCTGTTTCTGTTCATCAGAGTTTACATTTTTAAGTGAGCTTGTTTGTTGTTGTCCATCTATCTAAAAAATAAACAATAAACTAATCCCCATGTATAAAGGTCAGTTCAAACAGGGCGCCATTTTTTGCGATGACGGTTGAAAGAACACTTTTTCTAGAAAGAGTGAGACTAAAAAAGTATTGGGAGTACCACACTAAATACCGTATTCGATACATGTATATACAAGGACAAGGCGTTTGGGTAATTAAATGCTAAAAGTTCGCCTTTTCGGCAGCCGAAATGTACTATTTTATGACTTATAGTTAATCACTACCCACCGATTTATATACATTCACGAATGAAAGCGTTATTCCAATCACATTTCGATGCAATTTATCAGGATAAAGAATGCGACCATGTTCATATAATTCAATAATAATAATAATAATAACAATAATAATAAGAAGGAGAAGAAGAAGAAGAAGAAGAAATGATTTAAGAAAGAAAGAAAACCTGCTTAATAAAAGAAATATTCTCAAAAACAACACGGGAGACACTTGATATGGCTGACAATTTTATTTCATTTCAAGGCAATATGACAGATAAGGGCAAGAAAGACTATGATAATTCAAGATAAAATATCCGAAAACAAAAACTCACTTTGATTAAAAGGTCTTTCGTTCATTGATGATTTAATATAATCAATTATATATATGTTAAGGTGTCAAAAAAGTTTATGTATAGGAAAAATTCACTAAGTATATTAGTATGCTGTGTTTTGTATCAGCACTATAATCGCCTTTGCTTGAATGTAGTCTTTTAAAGAAAAAAAACCCTACAGTTTATTATCAAGAATATACTTTTTTCTGAAGGATATTTAAACGGAGTGAATTGGAAGATGAAAGATGCTGAATGACTTGGATGAGACGGTTTGGAGTTTTTATGTGTATTAATTGACAACGAATGCCGTAGGCCTGAGTGGTTCATTTTTTGCATTTTATGCTTTTTTATTAAATATTGTTGCTGTAAAGGGGTTTGTAAACAATATAATCGAGGGAGAAAACATAAAAGAACGAAACACATCTGAAAAGAATATTTTAATTTCCAACAGAATCAGTTTGATCTAAATTACGTTCGGTACAACAGACTTCATGCAAAAATCATAAAGAATTAATATTTTAGAGAGTAAATCCTGTAATTTCTGGATCACCCCTTGTACCATTTTTGTCAACCACAGTCCCTCCATTTTCAACTGAAAATATGAAAAAAAGCGGACGATGAAACTTATTTCCTCTATATAGAATTCAGACAATGGTTCGGTCTCACTTCTTCTACACTCCTACTAAACAGTGGCTCTTTCATGCACGCATACAGTAAATAACGAAATACTTCAGTCAAAACTTTGGGAACATTTTAATTAAATTCATGACAGAATGTAATGGTGCTGATAAAATTAATTTTTATTAAACTTAAAAACAAACAAACTTATACAATATTAATGTAGATTACAATTGTTCATACCTAATACATCGACACATCCTCTGCCAGTGCCGTCAAACCCTCCGGTAACTATTGCAACTTTCTGATCGAATTTTAAACAAGCTGTTGAGACCATCTTGACTGCTATAAATAAGTCATTTTTTACCTATATTATGGAACGCCAAGTTTATATCAATTCAATTCAGTTAACTATCTTTCCAATTCACACATCCGCATATTATTAAAAGAGTACAGACGCCTTACAATTGAGTACCGCTTTATTATAATAAAGCCATTTTACAATAAAACACACCCGTTTATAATAGAGTTCAGCCCCTTTTTTATAATACAGCCCCTTTGTAATGTAGCACACCCCTTTTATGATATAAAACAGCCCCTTTCTTATGTAGAACATCCCATTTATGATAGAGTACTGCCTCTATATAAAAGCGTCTCTACAGTTTTAATACTACCGTCACAGACACTGCTAGCTTAAAATCTGTCATGCAATATACATTATTTCTATTTTAGTTTAGATTATTTAAATGTTTTAAGTGGATATTATGTTGTTCTTTAAGATTTACCCATGACATAATAAAAGTTAGTATTACTGCTAAAACTAACGTTACATCAGGTTAAATATACTGTTGGTAGATCATTTTTTTTCATTTTCGTATTGAAATACTCTTTGAAAGTAATTTTCCAAATTCAAAGAAGGGCAAATACAATACGCAAATACAGCAGGATGGGGGAGGGGGGGTTAACATATATGAAAGTCATGCGTTGGAGTTTATTGAACTTCTATGTGCCGAGTTGTGCCATGTTGTATTTTCGCTCACTTTGCCATATTTTCGTGTTTTCGCCTGGCGCCCAGCGGAGCGTAAATACGACATGGCACAAATCAGCCACTATAAACTACAGCTTAGTAGATTTAAATAATTGGAGAAAAGTTAAACTTAGCATGTTTGACGTTCCATAATTATGTAAGCTTGATCTTTATCGGACACTGGCCAAAATGTGACCTTTATGCACTCACGAGAAAAACTATGTCAAGGTTTGTACATTAGTAGCATGTCATAAATTTTATGTCCAAATTCGAGGTAAATGTATATAATTAGCTTAACATGTGTAAATTCAATGCAGTTCACACCTGCAAAATAATATACCTAATTTAAAAAATTGGTAGATAAAGTAAGTAATGTTAAATAAAGACAACTAGCTGGGAGTGGAATTATTTTTTTTTTGTTTGGTTATTATTGCATATTTAAAATGGTCATTAAACACATTAAAAAACACATAGATTTATATCGTTATTTGTAGTATAGAAACAAATAAAAGGAAAACTTATCGAATATTTGGATTTTGTTATAAAAATGGAGAAAATAATAGCGTAAAAGCACTTATCAAAAACCTTGTTGTCTAACTTATTTAATCTATCTTAATTGTTCCGTTTTAAGATTTTAGCGTATTTATTCTTAAAGGGACTCCACTAAAGGTTTTTTTGACATGATGGGACTGACATTTTGTTTCTATATCCATGTACCATTTGATGTAGGGTTAGACCACTAATCTTTATGCAAAATTTCAGATCATTCGCACACTTCATTTTTCCAGAATAATTATTCAAAATGTCAAAAATGACCAAAACTATAAAGCGTATAAACACTTTTCACTCAAATCGGTCTAGGAAAAGCATAAAAATACGATTTTCAATTTATTTCAAAGTATATTTCTTAACTGTCTTTGCATATATTTCTGTTTAAAGTACTCTAGCTCATTTATGTAAAAAAAAATAAATGTTATGTTTCTATGCTTTTAAAGCTCAGTGGAGTCCCTTTAAAAACAAATATTTATTGCGGTATACCAGACTTGTACATAAATGTCGTAATATACCATGCGAAGTTCAGGTCATAAGGTCGCCGTTTAGATATGAACTTTAATTTACCCAGTGTCTAATGTTTAAACCATTTAGCGTGAAACTGGCGTGTGTAGAAATATATAGATATTACAAACATTATAGGATAATTGAGGACTTGCTTCATAAAGTACGTTTTTATTATAATAATTAATGAAAAAATATTGTTATATTTTTGCAATTTTTGAACAATGTGGCGGAATAAGCAATACATGTATCTTTAAAATATCATATTTTGTAAAGGTAGAGAATAATTTAGAATAAACCAGTGAGTTGTTAATTTCATCAATTTTAAGTGTAGCAAATATCAATAAGGTAAAGAAAATGTAATCATTTCTGCTGAATGTATAAACTCTTAAAACATGTTAACAGCTACATGTCGCCAACCATTTCCATCATAATGAATACGTGTAACAAGTGAGGTGTTTCAAATACGAATTTACACTAAATATAATTCATGATATTGAATCTTGTTTCATTTGGTTTTGTTTTGATATCGTGGCAAAGTGTGACGTAATTTCTGCAAAAATAGTTGTTGTTTATTTCGACGACAGGTCAACCTAAATGGCTGTTGGTTATCTCGGCACCTGGTCCACCTAAATGGCTGTTGGTTATCTCGGCACCTGGTCCACCTAAATGGCTGTTGGTTATCTCTGCGGCCGGTCCACCTTAATCAATAGCTGTTGTTTCTCTCGACGGCAGGTCAACCTAAATGGCTGTTGTTAATTTCGGCAGCTGATCTACCTAAATGGCTGTTGTTAATCTTGGCGGCCTACTACCTAAATGGCTGTTGTTAATCTCAGCGGCCGGTCCACCTAAACGGCTGTTTTTTATCTCGGCGGCCGGTCCGCTTAAATAGCTGTTGTTAATCTCGGCGGCCAATCCACCTAAACGGCTATTTTTGATATCAGCGGTCGGTCCACCTAAATAGCTGTCGGTAATCTCGGCGGCCGGTCTACCTAAAAGGCTGTTTTAATCTCGGCGGCAGAGCCACCTATATGGTTGTTATTAATTTCTGCGGCAGATTTACCGTAATGGCTGTTGTTAATTTCAGCGGCAGGTCCACATAATGGCTGTTGTTAATATCTGCGGCCGGTCGACCTAAATTGCTGTTGTTAATCTCGGCCGCTGGGCAAACTAAATGGCTATAGCCTATCTCGGCAACCGGGTAACCTAAATGGTTATTGTTAATCTCGGCGGTCGTATGGTATGTGTCTTATATATGTATTTTTAAGTGAAAACGCCATCATAAAGTACTTCATGATGATCAAAATACTTATAAAGTTAGTTGCTGCATTAAAATACAATGAGATATTGGTGAAGACAGAATAGAGGAATCCAAGTCTAAAACAGTTCAAAAACTGCATCCTTCAAATGGGACTAAGTACATACCGTACATATAGCTAGTTAAATTTTATTTTCCAAAATGTGTAATTAAAAGATACTCGGCAGTGCGTTTTACTGTTGCCTTTAATTACCGAGAGTTATTTTAACTATGCTAAACCTATATCGTAGAACACTGATTGCGTGTCCAGCGAGTACCGGGAACAGGATGGCAAATAGCCCGTATCTACCGGAAGTCACAATGAAAGCAAACAGTTTACGACCGAAACACTTGTAAGAAGAGCTATAGTTATATCTGATTTTTTGATAATAGAAAAGAAACTACTACAAACAATATTATAATTACAGCATGGCAAATACAGTAAACCAACCAGCTTTGCGTTTTAAAGACAAAGTTGCCATAGTAACTGGTGGAGTACAAGGGATAGGTCGAGGCTGCGTTGATGTGTTTGGTAAATGATAGTTTATGTATGTAGATATAGTAAATACCTTAAGTAAATTAAACACATTTTTTTCGTTTTCAAAATCGTTTTCAATTATTATTGACCAAAATCAAAATCTCGACAATAAAATAACCATGTGATGAAAATTTAAATAGAACGTCTGATTTGATTATTTGTTCTTTAGTTTATGCACCGAACCTTCCACTTATTTTTATATGATGGTAGATTTTGCTGACAGAATATCGCATGTTCTGCTTTCTTCGCCACTGACTCCTCTGAGGGGAAGTTGGCTTTTCATGTGGGAAGACTTGAAAGTAATCGACTTAAAATTTTTTTTAGGAACATTCATAAGGTCCCGATACATTGCCAGTCGATACTTGACTTACAGTGCTAATTAAACTGTTGGGATAAAATTCAACATATATACCAATTTAAAATCCTAACATAATTTGCGACAAATGTGCTACCACTGCTCGTTTCAAAGAATATTGTCCCGGATATTATCCGACAAAATTACGGTTTTTCTATTTTCAAACTTGTATGAATTCAACCCCAATTATTTGTCATATTCAATTTTTGAATATAATATTCTTTTGTCATTTTCAGTCCAAGACTTCACATTAACTTCAGGCCAAAATTGTCACAACCCGCTTATTTGACCAGCTTTATGTTCTTACAGTTTCAAAATAAAAAACGTTCGTTTTCGTCCATTTGCGCACTGGAACTTGGACTACTTAAGAGGAGTAATGTTGGTCTCTGTCACACCAGCGTTTACTTATTCTTTTAAACATCCGACCGCCTCCGTGGTCGAGGGGTTAGAGTCGATGACTTCTAATCCAGTTACCTCTCTGGCGTGGGTTCGATCCCCGGGAGATGCTTTGGTAGTTTAGCGCGGAGGAAGGTAGTCTAGTACTGGTGTAACTCTCCAGGAACGATGGTTAGGAAACTACCCGCCTATATGACTGAAATACTGTTGAAAAAGGCGTAAAATTAAACAAACAAACTTTAAACATCCAGAAAGTGACGATGATATGCCGAGAATTCAAAATCTTTGATAATTCAAGATGGACCAAATTTACTGTGGAATAAGTCTGAATTCAAAAAATTGTTTTCGCTGTATATCTACCATTTTGTACATTTATGTTCCTCTTACACAATTTCGTTTACATGTATTTTCATAGGGTGACATTTAGAAGAAAAAAAAACAACAAAAAACCAAAAACGCATTACTTATTATTGCATTCAACATTTCAGTTGAACAAGGCGGAAAAGTAGCAGTATTTGACATCAATGGTAACTATATTCTTTATTTTTTTATTCTTTTTATAAGAAGCCAAACTTGACGTAAGTTAACCAACTTGACGTAAGTAAAGTCAGTAATTGGCCATGTCAAATACACGTTTGTTTGTTTTGTTGGGTTTTACGTCACACCGACACAGTAAAGGTCATATGGCGACGTTCCAGCTTTACTGGTGGGGAAGACCTCAGGTGCGCATGCCCTTCCGTGCATTATTTCATGCACGAACGGGCACCTAAATGGAACCACCGACACTCCGTAAGCTAGTTGGATAGCTTCCTCACACGAAATAATCCAAAGTCCCTGTCGGGATTTGAACCCACAACGGTGAGGGGCAAGTGGTTTGAAGTCAACAACCTTAACTACTCGGCCTCGGACGCACCCAAATACACGTAGTTCACATATGTGTAAACGAATTTATAAAAATTACAGTTGAAGATGGACACAAATGAACTTAGTTTTCATATCACACACTATTCTTTTTATAGACGACGTTGGAAAAGCCATGAAGTCTGATGGACCTGGGGAAATTATATACTTCCACTGTAACATGAGAAAAGAGGAAGAAGTTAAGGTACATATTGTGTCATTTAGTCTTAAGTCGTTCTAATGGGTCAATAAGCCATTTTAGAATAATTTGCTGTATATATATTTTTTTTCAACTTTACAATATTAGATGATTCTGTACAGTTGATATTTCTTGCGCTCTTTAATTAATATTTCGATCGGGCTGTCACCGTATATTACTGCGCATCTTAGCGGTGCATAAGTGGGTTAATTTCATTAACATCTGCAGAAGTACATGTATACCAAAAACAAATTTAAAGCAGAAGTATATGAAAACCGATTAAAAGCCCGAGTACGCAGGACAAGAAATTTATTTAGTTATTTCGGGGGCTTCTGCAGATGCTAATGCACGAGAAAGGCGCATTACCGTTATTCCTGCAAAAAAAGCGTTTGATACTGTAATTCTGCGTTTTGAAACGGGTTTCGTCAACCCTCACCTGTTAGTGCAATTTTACTTGAAAGTGGAACTATTAGTCCAGACATGAATACCGGACCGTCATCGCAGTTAAAACGTTTTTATATGGCGCATTGAAAATCGGCGCGTGCGCGCGTGATTATACGTTAATGCATGCTTTCTTCTACGTTAATATTTCGCTGCGTGTGCAGTTTTTAAAAACTTTTTATGTAAAAATAGGTTATAAAGCACCCGTCGAGAGCTGTATCAAGTCGTCATATCACGTTTTTTGACTTCATGTACACATGTAGTTCTATTTTATTTTTTCTATAACTTTAACGAGGGATAATAAATTAAAGTGATTTATGTGTTCTAAATCAATCTTAACAAGTCTAAGATAGGATATGCAAATATTTCATCATTCATTTTTATGGTTTCTGTATGGTATTTTAAGTTCCTAAAGTATTTATTTCTTTCTTTCTTTGCATAAATAAATAAATACCAGTACTTGCAAAAATGCCAACCACTGATCTTAAATTTTTTTACAACTTCGTTCTTTTACTGTAATTGTTGGGCTGTTTTTTATTTTGCACACAATGAAAAATCTTTCCAATTTACTCCTAACTTTTAAAATCATTTTGACAAAATACGCTTTTCATAAGTTCTACTCAGTTTGACATTGTGTTTTACAGTATCAGTCAGTATTTTGTTATATATTATTCTTAGTCTTTTGTACTTTCTATTTTTTCTCGTAATGCTTTTTATATAGGAAATAGGTATATGTGTTAGGTTATTTAAAATAGTTTTTAATGTTTTATTTGGCTCATTGATACTTTTATTGTTTTTGGTCTACAGAATTGCGTGGAAGAAACCGTGAAGAAGCTGGGTAAAATTGACTGCCTTGTGAACAATGTTGGTTGCTGTAAGTACAAGTTCCATGCTAAATATGTTAAATGGACTCGCCAATCTTTTATCCTGGTCAAGGCCATTTATTACCTACCGGGGGAAATCGGAAAAACAAAGTTAATATCATGCTAGATAATTATGTTAAATAGACTCGTCCATCTCATATCGTGGACAAGACCATTCATTAACTTTCGGGGGCGGGTGGGTTATAAAAGTGACTAAATAACGTACAGTACAGGCCTGCATACCATTATCAGATGACCCGGATGTGCCGACTGATTTCTGGTCTGCACTGTTTGCAGGGGTAAAATCAATTGCCGCCAACAGCTAATGCATATCTCTCTTATGTCCTTGATTTTTTCAGTGTGCAAGTCGGACGGGGCTTGTGGTCAACAAGTCCAAAAAAACATTAAGTTTGAAATTCTTGCATCGATAAAGTTATGCTCTTTAAATGGAAAATTCTGGAAAAGACGATAAAGATACATATACTGAGTTGTTGATATAGTTTGCTCAGATTTGAAAATTGCCAGTATTTGCTACATAGTATCTTTGTAAATATGAAATAAACATGTTTTGACTTCACACAAAGTACAAATATTATATAAAATTCTACACACTAAAGGATGTCACAATATGAATATATAGGTAGTGTTTTAAAGGAAAGACCAACTTTAGGTTGTCCGGTTAGCTCAATGGGTAGAGCGTTGGACTGTGAATCGGGCGACTCAGGATCGATTTCCAGGTCGACTTAGGTCTTTTTACGACTGTATGTGACTGGAAATATTTATCCGAGTTTTGTGTACCATTTGAGACAAAAATGAAAAATGTTGCAGTGCTTTTCATTCAATCAGACTAAAAATCGCATCAAAAAGAAAAGAAATTCTGAGTTAATTACTTTATTTTGTATATTATAAATGCATGACTCAATCTATGTAGGAATGTCAACTTTTGTGTTTCAGGCTTTTTCACCTTAGTGGAGCTATGAATGCACAAAATATTTAGTTTTGTTCAAACTGGATATGCAAAGAAACAGTTCAGTCGTATGCCGTATAGCAAATCTGTTTTGCCCAAAGTATTTATATCATCATAATCATTCCATAGTGTTCGAGGTTTAGTTTCCGAATAGTAATTAGTAAGGTCTATTTTCCCTCCCTTCAGCATTCCATAGTGGGCGGGATTTAGTTACCGAATATTGATCAATAAGGTCCATTTTCCCTCCCTTCTGAGTGCTCCATAAACATTCCATAGAAGGCGGGGTTTAGTTTCCGAATATTAATAAGGTCCACTTTCCCTCCTTTCTGAGTGCTTCATTTATTTGCAACAAAAATGAAAACAAAACAAAAAGTGCTCACACAAACGCTTTAATTTAGATTTGATTGAATGGCTGCACTTCATTTTTCCATTCTTTTGCACATTTCGAATCAGGGCCGTGACTTTTAGACTTTTCGTTGAATCTTTTGCGTGAGGATCTTTTTTTAGATAACTTTTCCGGTGGTCCGGTGTGGCTGTGTTGGTGGTGGTAGCTGTCCGTGAGCATATGTTTTACATTTTATGCGAAAGGACGATCGCTATTTTTTACGTTCTTTTATAAAGTGATAAATGCTTTTTCAAAGCAAACAAAATTGCCCCATTGACTCCAAAAAGCTTTTTTGTCCGCCATTTTTGCAACCAGAGCATTTGATCGTCGCTTTAAGCAATTAGACACCATCACTTACCCCGTTAACCCTTGGTCATCATTTTCCTTACAATTTCTTTTTTAATTACGATTTAATTATATTCGGTATTTGAAATGTATAACTTTTTGAATTTTTATATAAACAAAATAGGGCTTTTAAAGAATTGATTATTGAAATACTTTGTAAGATCTAAATTAAGATTTTTATTCTAAACTGAAAAATATGATGAAAACTGATTGACCTTTGACCTGATTTTTTTTCAGATTATGGTCCAAAAAGTATTGACGAGATATCTGTACAAAACTTCCGGGACCTATTAGAGGATAATTTAATTAGTAATTTTACTGCAAGCAAGGTTAGTTTTCCATGTAATTTCGGTATGTTATCACGTGAACAAATTAGATATCAGTTTAAACAGTTTATTGAAAATGCTGGGCCTCTTAGAGGCATCAGTCACATATAGAATGATATATACATATAATATGACATATCATAAAGAGATATTCATCTGTATGTAATCAAAAAAGGTTTAAATTGCGTTTTCATATAAGCAATCGCTGTTTTGTATAAGCAACGGCAAATGATCATATAAGCAACGGCAGATTATGATATGTATAGGTAACGGCAGGTTTTCATTTAAGCAATGGAAGGCTTTTTTGGCAACAACGGGTTTTCATTTAAGTAACGTCCGATTTTCATATTATTATGTACGCAGATTATCATATAAGCTTCTTCAAATTTTCATGTAAGCAAGTAAAACGACGGGTGGTTATTATATAAGCACCAACAAATGATCTTATAAGCAATGACAGATTATTATATAAGCAACGGCAGATTTTCATATAAGCAATGACAGGTTTACATATAAGCAGTGATAGATTTCTATGTTATCAACGGCAGGTGATCATATACGTAACGGTAGATTTCATATAAGCAATGACAGGTTTTTATTTAGGCAACAGCAGGTTTTCATATTTATATTATTTTGTAAGTAGCCGAGCAACGTCAGTCATATAAGCAAGGTAGATAGTCAAGGGAAGGTTTTAAAAGATAAGCAGGGTAGGTTATCAAAACAGATGTAAACATTTAGACATTTACAAGAAAGCAATGACCATTATCAAATATACAAGAAGAGATTTTATGTGTGGTAGGTTATCGTACACATACATGTATAGCTATATTTGAATATGATGTGATATTCACCGGCAGATGACATATTGACCGAGGTGATACCTATATTTAGATCATAGCCTTCAATAATGTATCATATTTTCCATAAGTGTATGCCTGTATTTTATTAGACAGGTTATATGGTTAAGTGAAGACGTTATAAGCTTATATAACCCGACTCACTAGGCCATATAACGTGTTAGGCATCTTTATTACGATACAGTATGGCAGAATAACATTATTTGAGAAAAAATCTAACATTACTTCATAAATTGACAGCAGTCGTGTATATAGATTATATAAAAATATCACGATTATCCAATGAAAAGCGATGTTACATATTTGAAAGTTTATATTGTCTTCTTTTTTAAGTATGCGCTCCCATATCTACGAAAAACAAAGGGCTCAATTGTTAACATATCAAGTATCAGTGCCAATGCTGCATTCAAGAATTCAACAACTTACTGCGCTACAAAAGTAAGTTTTTAATAAAGTGAATTGGTTTACAAGGGGTGCAATTAACATAATTGTTTCTAGCATTGATACAAACAATGGAAATGTATTATTCGGATGTTCCTTTGAAATATTTCTTTTCCAAAAATTTTGATAAAGTCCTAAGTTATTTAGTATGAACATTTATTAGTCTATGATGAAAAGTAATAGGTTTTTCTAGAACAATTTTCTAGAACAATTAATTATCTTTATATTTATAATATAATGTATAATTATACTTTGATCTATCTGCTCTGTACTGTATAGATATGTTATATTGGATCATGAATGTCACACTTTCCAACAACATATATGAATTATTCTTTCGTGGTTCCTTATTATGCTTAATACTAAATACTTTCACTATAATTATTTACGGTATAGCACATCTTCCGTTATAGACCAATTCGCTTTAACATTATGATAAATAATTGCATATAACAAATCACACATTTCTTGAAAAGAAATTCAATTCATAATTACAAATACGGTGTTCCGTTTTGACAATCGTGTTTTTTTTTATTTCGTCCTGACTGGCGATGCACGAGCGTGCAATAGTTTGTTTGTTTGTTTGTTTCATTTTACGCCTTTTTCCAACAGTATTTCAGTCATTTAGGGGGGTAGTTTCCTAACCATCGTTCCTGGAGAGTTACACCAGTACTAGACTACCTTCCTCCGCGCTAAACTACCAAAGCATCTCCCGGGGATCGAACCCACGCCAGAGAGGTAACTGAATTAGAAGTCATCGACTCTAACCCCTCGACCACGGAGGCGGTTGAAAACGCGATGGTTCGATGGCACGATGATAAAACACGATGGTACGAGGGTGAAATAGCGATGTTGCGATGGTACGGTGGTGGAAACGCGATGTAATATCGAGTTTTTATCATTGTACCATCGCGTCATCACCATCGTACCATCACGTTTGCACCATAATGCAATCGCGTAATCACCATTGTACCATCGCGGAACACGGTATCGGAACTAAGCCAGCTTAGTGATTTGTTAAAGCAATGCTAAAACAAGCTTAATGTTCTTTTTCATATGTTACCATTTTTTCTACATTTTGTAAATTATACTCGTATATATATATTCGTTCAATAAAACTATATAATGACGTACGTATTTGAGTTGTCTTATATTTGAGTTTTCTTAATTAAAGGGTGGCGTGAAAGCACTGACAAAAGCACTGGCTATTGACGAGGCCAAGTATGGAGTGAGAGTGAACTCGTAAGTTATGAATTCTTCATTCTAAAAAAGTGAATGCATTCATTCACTGTAAAGAAATATATTCCCTATTTTGATGGTCCAAATACTTCTTTTGTAAGATCTTATTTATTTTGCACTTTTTTCATAAACTGACGATAGCAAAGCAAAGTTCAATAAAAATGACGTCATGTCCGATAAATGTAATACACAACAGAATGAGGCGAATATAATACTCGTGACATTGGCTTCATATACCTACCGTGTAATATATCTACAGCAAATAATTCACGCATCAAAACTATAGTATTATTTGATGTTCATGTAAAGTAAAATAGTTCATTTTGAATAAAGCAGCCAAAATATTTCAAGAAAATTAAACGCTAGTAAAATGTACTATAATTTAAAGAAAAGTGAAAAAGATTTAAGATTCAGGTAATAATGTACATGTGGTGTGGGATACCATATTTCTACTGCGTTACGAACGTAGTAAGCGCTATTTTTGCTTATTTTGACCTGTTTTGGTATCCTATAGGGTTGCAAGTGTTCTTCACAATGTGTAAATTATTGTCTTTGCTCACTTATTAAATACATTTTAGAAATTGTCATGAAAATAAGCATGAATCTGGAGGCATGTTGCTTTAAATTCTGAATTGTTATGCGTACTTTTATTCTAGTATTGCTCCAGGGGCTATAGAAACACCATTACTACGCGAGGTTTGGCCGAAGGAGACTATTGCAACGCTGGAAAGTTGTCATGTAAGTTGAATGATACATTCATGCAGATATAATTATAGATACAAGAGATGTGGATAAGAGGGGCGTCCGTGGCCGAGTGGTTAAGGTCGTTGACTTCAAACCACTTGCGCCTCACCTCTGTGGGTTCGAATCCCGACAGGGACTTTGGATTCTTTCATGTGAGGAAGCTATCCAGCTAGCTTACGGAACGTCGGTGGTTCTACTCAGGTACCCCTTCGTGCACGGAATGGCACCTGAGGTCTTCCTCTACCAGTAAAGCTGGAACGTCGCGATATGACCTATACTGTGTCGATGTGACGTAAAACCCAAAACAAACAAACAAACAAAGATGTGGATAACATATCTGATTTATGCTACAAATCAGATTTCCTAACGCCAACATGTTGTTTTATGTGTCACTGTTACGAAACTGATTTCATTGTTTTGCTGTGCAGTACAACTTTAATGCAGGCGTCACACTGTCCCGAATTTGGCATCAGATGGACACACGAATAAGGAAATGTTCAAATTCGGGTCTGATCGTAATAACATCGTGCCATTCGTGAGGGCATCTTTTTCCATCGTATGATCCCCGGCTTAATATTACAAGCCCTGGCAGCAACTTTGTGAGCGATTCCAAAATCTTTGGCATGCCAAAAAAATTGCCCGAAGACATTGCAAAGGTTCATTTTCGTGTTTAATTCGTATGGCAATATTGCCCTTCGTAAGGCCGTCGTGAAGCCATCTTGTCGATTCGTGTAGTCTTCGTCCTTTCTTGTGATTATCGGTGCAATCAAGCATGTTTAGCCTCAGGAAGACACTACGAAATAAACACGAAGATTACCTACAGTCTAAAGAAGGGAACACGACTACGTGAAGCCCCCGCAATACTGTCGTGTCACCATCGTATTTTGGTACGATGTCATCGAGATGGGACTACGATGAGGCCGAAGAAAGCAATTTTTAGTGGCTCAAGCGTTGCATGTTTATCATGGTGGACAGTTAAACGGCTAGACCATCTTCCTCATCTGTCACTCTTGCACATCTCTACAGAGACATCAAAAGCTTCCATTATTTGCAATTAATTTACAATTATTTTCAGTTTATTTTCTGCAGAATTACATGCTTTGATGATGAGTCAACCGAAAAAAAGAAGGCAGCAGCATTGTTACTTTTAAGACACCTTAAAAAACATAATGAAGCCCACAGGCCCACTTTGGGTGGTATGATAAAGTTTTATCAAATATGATAAACAATATCAACAAGGAAAGGCAACGTTCAATGAACGCGACCCCCACACAACCAAGCAACAAGAACCAAGTAACACAAAAGGACCCCAGAAAAACGAACAGGGCGCAAGGTAGACCACGGATAGGCTTATCACTTAAATGATACATAAGACGAAATAATGGTAAACGACAAAGAAATCAAAGAAAACAAATAAATGATTGATTCATTAAATAAATAAAACTAGGGGCAAAAGGGCAAATACTTACCGTAGACGTGAAAACAACGAGGGAAGCCGACAAAAGTGTCACCAAAACAGTATAAAATAACAAAGACATGCATCTGAGAAAAAGGGGCGCCGCCTTGCACCGGTCAGCAGCATTAGCACTGATGGGGAGTTTAAACCGGTTAATAGTGCACCAAACATCACTCTTAGCCCACGATGTTCCTATAAACGAGATGGTGTAAATAAAATGAATCCCCGCCAAGTAAATTTATAACAGTTGTTATGGTTTCAAAAGGTAAAATAAGTAAAACACCGAGATGATAATGTAGATACATGTACATATAAATGAATACCCATATGACAGTAACAAAAGTACTCAATACTTTAAAGGAAGACAGAGTAACAAAAAAATCACCAACAAGGGCCCGACGAAGCAAGGCAGAAGACGAACATTAAAACAATTCAGTCCAAAAGGGCATTAAGAACTGTCCATCATAGAGAAATCCAATTGGTCCGTCAGATGTATTCAAAAGAGGAAAGGACCAACTTTTTAAGTGTTGAACACTAAGCATGCGGTATATCTAAAAAAGTAGAGTCAAAACCTCTTTTGGTTAAACTGTTAATAATTTTAGTTAAGGCAACAATGACCAAAGACCTTGCGAAGTTTGTAAATAACATCTCAATTAAATCATTTTTGAATCACTACTGAATTTTGAGATTAAATCAAAGTTACGATTGTTAAATTTTGTTAAATATCTACGTATTTATAGTAGCGGTAGCCCTGTTTGAGTAGCTTGCTAGTAATAAAAATATTTAGCTTGCAAAAATCCTTCACTTTGCTAAAAGCTCTAGCGAATCTAATTTACTGAGATACATATACCCCGTCAGATGATGCATGCAGTACGTCTCCTTATAAATGTGAATAGTTTACTATATCATAATCAAAGTCATCACTTTTATCATAGATTTTTGTGTGAATACAATTGTTTTTGATAGTAATATGAAGAGTCAGAATAAAGTCTAAACGTAGTTAAATTAGCTCCCAATACTATCTGCAACTGAAGTATGCCGCGGTTGGCATGGGTTGTATACCATCCGGAGGTGAAGGTCACTTGACGCCTTCGTAACCACGTACGAAGGCATCGTACTCATAATACGACGTCGGGAACATATCGTGTGACCTTCGCGTGTCCTGCTCGTAAACTACTTTGTAAAAAATTGCATCTTTTAGGTGACTTCGTGTGTGTATCGGATGCGATCGCCTGACCTTCGGTAAGAATCGTGTGTGGTTCTGATGCGATCGCGTGACCTTCTGTAGGAATCGTACTTGTTTCGGCAGTTGAGAGACTGTCGACCAATTTCGGGGCTATCTTCGCACGATATTAAAAATTTCATATTCTTATGTCCATCTTGTGTCAATGTCCTGACAGTGTGAGGCCTGCATTAATAACGGCATATCAGACTCGATGACGTGTTTTCCACCTTCTGTAGACAATACTTCCTGTCGCTGTCCGGTCATTCTCATGTCAAATAAAACCATCAACGCTTTCAGTTTTTGTTTTGTCTTTTTAAAATTTTAATCCTTCATTCTTTTTATTTGACAATGGTACATTATAAGGAGGGCATGTGAATTATACAACAGTTAAATTTCAGCTTAATCTTATTAACTAGAAATATGGATTAATCAGTGTTTCTTACTATGTCTTGTAGCCATATTGCAATGCTTTGCCGCAAAAGCATCTTTACCTCTGCCAATATCGCAGCAAATCGTTTTTTTTTTGGTTTTTTTTCTTCGGGACGTTATTTTTTCAAAATCTTGGCTATTAGATTATTTACAATCACATATTCCTTATAAACAGGTTAAAAATATTTAATACCAAATACCGTTCCGGAAATGACCGATTTATTACGATTTAGTCGATGTTAGAATTTTTTAGCGGGAAAATATTGCAGTAAACGTTATTTCCAGTCTATTATTTCAGACTATTCAAAGAATAGGTAAACCCCGAGAGATAGGACTTGCTTGCCTTTTCTTGGCCGTGGATGCCACGTTTACAACGGGAGAGGAGCTGATGTGTACAGGGGGATGTGAAATTGGATACGGAAATAAAAATACGGGACTACCCTGCTGATGGTGTGACATCTTCACTTATCTTAAGGACTTGTAAAATCAGTAATGATGCTGTCAGAAACATAAGCAAACAGACTGACTATAGACCTTCTGTCAAGCGCGTATACATGTTGATCCCCTGACATAAAAAAAACCTGAACAAAATATATAGATCTATCATACAAGAGAATTGCATATACAAATATATATTTAAGTATTCGGTGTGTAAGTAATATATGGAATTTGGTTGTATGAACATGGTTTTACTTTTTTCAATTAATAAATCATTTTGTAAATACTTCTTTCAATGTAGACTCTTGTAATTATATCTTATTGAAATTTGCTGACATTTTCATAACTTTGTCATATTTTCACAGATTTGATACTTAGGCCAAAGAACGCATAACTAAACTAAAATTAGAATTATTCTGATATATCCATTATTCTGATATGTCCTTGACCTTTCGATTTACATTGACCTTCAAGGTCAAATTGTTGAAAATTGCTCAAATTATCATAACTTTGTTATTTTATTCATACTTGGACAATAGAACACATATGACAAAATCAGCATGATGTCTTCGGAAATGACCTTGATCTTTATTTAACCTTGACCTTCAATGTTTAATTAATAATGGAAATTTGCTTAACTTTCATAGGTTTGTTATTTTTTAAGTATTTGTTTTATACTTGGACAAAAGAACACATATGACTAAACTGCCATGTTGAATTATTTTGAAATGACCTTGACCGCTAATTAATCTTAACTTTAAAGGTCAAATTATTAACATTTGTTTAAATAGTCATAACTTTGTTGTCTATTCACAGATTTGATTTATACTTGAACAAAAGAACACATTTGAATATACTGACGTGTTAAATGATTCTGAAATGACCTTAGCCTTATATTGACATTTATCGTCAATGTGAAATTATTGAAATTGTATTAAGTTTGCATAACTTTGTTATTTATTTATGGATTTTGTTAATTCTTGGATAAAATAACACTTATGGCAAAACTGACAATGATGATTAATTCAAACGTGACTTTAACTTTTGAATGACCGTGACCGACAATGCAAAAATGAAATTCGAATTATAATTTAAGACCGTTATTTTTTTTCTGAGAATATTCTTAAGCGCAATAATCTTTCTTCAATGTGATAAAACTTTTAAGTGAGAAAAATTCGAACGTGGTCCCCGCCTGGCGGTGGATCTTGTTTTGTTCACCAGTTTTTAGCTCGACTGTTATCTCTTTTAGTGAGTGTGTTTGTTGTTGTCCATCTACCTAAACATATTTGACAATAAAGTAATCCCCATGGATAAAGGGCAGTTTAAACAGCTCGTCAGTTTTGCGATGACGGTTGAAAGCAACACCCTTTCTAGAAATAGTGAGGCTAAAAAAAGTTTTGGAGCACCACACTAAATACCGTATTCGGTATAGACAGGGGGAGACAAAAACATCACTCGATATGGCTGACAATTTTATTTCATTTCAAGGCAATATGACAGATGAGGGCAAGAAAGACTATGATAATTCAAGACAAAATAATCAAAAACAAAATATCATTGTGAACAAAATATTTGATTAAAAGGTCTCTCTTTCATAGATGATTCAAAATAATCAATTATGTATATGTTTTGGTGTAAAAAAATGTTATTTTTTATTGCTGAAGAACATAATAGACACTTTGTCTAGGAAAAGTCACATTAGTATATAAGTACGTTTGTATCAGCACTTTATTCACCTTTGCTTGAATGTATTCTTTTTAAGAATGAAAAGCTACAGTTTATTATCAAGAATATACTTTTTTTCTGACGGCTATTGAAACGTAGCGAATTCGAAGATGAAAGGTGCTGAATGACTTGATGAGGCGGTGTACGCAGGGCATCACTTTTGTCGTGAAAACTTAAAAAAACATAAAGGCTATTTATTTTATGTAAGCATTAGCAACACGGGTAACAGTTTTATTTTCACAAATCGATAATTTATCTAAAGTTCATATTTTAAATGTCTTTCACTGAGTACGAAGCAGTAAATCCGCCATTACCGGAAGTCTGATCATACTGAATTCTGACGTCAGAACCACGTGACTCCCACATGAAGGGAGACAATTGTCCACAGAAAACCTCTTCTTCGTCTGCATCTATATCTTTTATCTAAACAAAACAAAAACAAAAAACCATGGTTTCAGTCTAAATTAGTATTTGAATAGATTTAAATTGAAAAAAATAACGTGGTACTTTATTCCGAAGATCTTATTTACAAATTCATTTCAACAAGTCTTTACGTAATCAAACTTTGTGTTTGTTTATGCAAAATATAAGCAAAATCCGACAGTAAACAAAATGAAAATAAGAGTTCGTAATAAGTTGTTAGCATTAAATGAAAGAATTTGAATTTTGATGGATATCTTTCCTGCATGTCCCAGCGATGTTTAAGGTCTTAATACCGTTATATAAAAAAATGAGTTACTTTTCTTAAATCTTTAGAAAGTTCTTAATTGCATGTTTGAAATCATCAAAATGACTGTAAGAAATAGGTATATGTTTGGTGGAGCAAGACCAGGCGAATAATTTGGATATACAATTTGTATTTGAGTTTATTCATACTCGCCACCGGTTGCCCATATGGGCGAATCCTCCAGAAGAGTATTACTCATTTTATATTTTGGAGGATTGTGAAAGATACAAAAAGATGCCCTAATGTCAGAAACTTCTCCTGGTTCTTTAATGTGCCAAGAGTTTAAGCACTTATACACGGGACCTCACTAAGCTATGGCCGCCACAAATATAAATAGATAATGATAAACAAGAGACGTGTACTTGCTGATTCCTTTTGTTACATACTTTAAGAGGGGATAGATAAAGTCCCGATAAACTCACATAGGATGTATACTTACGTGCAAACATGATTCATTTCCATCCACTGACATTGCAAATTCATTGAAAATCATCTCAATATGTTTCCCAGGAGTTCCAACGATGTAAATTTCACACGTGGAGTCTTCACGTCTAGCACCTGTTGGATATTTTACAGACGACACTTCTCCGACAGCAGACGTGAACACTTGATTACACGCTGAAAACGTTGTAAGATAAAAAATGATATAAAAAGACCATGGATTGTGAAATAAATATGTATACCGC